ACTAACTAACATGCAGTGAATCACATTAATGCTCGCAATGCACTTTAATTCAATTAAATTCATTCAAATCTACTCTATATTAAGACAAACTGCATTGCCAAATCCTTATCATAGTGTACATCTCTACCGGTGTATCTTCCATGTCAATTATAATGTCAGCCCCTAAAGTAATCCCTCACATTGAGCCCTGTAACTCAACCTGCACACTCGCTACACACAAACATACTGTACACACACCCACTTACACACCAATGAAGTGGAACCTAGTGAAAGTCGAGCCCACTTGTTAATTACAATGACAGGCCTTGCCCTTGTTTCCGACCGTGTTTCGTAACCAGGACTGTAATATTTATACACATATTATATCACTGATATTGGCTCATATTCCAGTTGAGATCTCAGTAGGAATATGCTGCTGTAAGCTCCTTTAAAAGTCAGTTATAAAAAGCTACACAAATCAAATCAATTATGACACCTGTGTGAAAACTATTGCATGCAGAAAAAGGAATGTATCTATTTTATAGCTCTATGTTTAGAAGAACTTATATCAGTGACATAGTGGCGTAGTTTTTGTGGTTCCCAAACTTAGGATACCTTTTCCATCACACTTCCAGCGAGCTAAGTAAAAGTTGTTTGGTGCTTGGCAGGTTGCACAGCTGATTTATCAGAGCTGTTAGACCATCTAACTATAAAGCAAGGAATCAAGAACAGTTCATGTGGTCTACTTCACACTTGGCGGATATATTGCTGCTGCAGTCCACGGCTCATTGACTGCAGTTCACTTCTGCTGGTATATGCTGGATATTCTAATGTTACAACCAAACACGGCGCAAACAGGCACTGCACGAGTACAGTTAGTGCAGCTAACAGGGGATCAAAACCTCTAAAAAGCTGTAGAGTTGGGCAATAACTCTCTGTCGGTTCATCGCTGCAGGAAGCTTCTTTTGTATTACATGTAGTCATTTTATTGTTTGTTATAATATCAAATACTTTAACGTCTAAAACAAAGAACTGTACGGAGAAATTCTTTAAAGTGCCCCAGTTAACAGGCATATCCATATATGACAGTCTATTGCAAACCATCTTTAATAGGTGTGTGTGTGTGTGTGTGTGTGTGTGTGTGTGTGTGTGTGTGTGTTTAGGGTGGGACAAGGGTGGTGTAGGTGATCAAGGAGAGGATTGGAGGGGATTATTTCTCAGCTGCCTCTGCCCATGCTCCCTGCTGGAAGTATTCCCCCCGAAATGTCATCAGCTGTTGAATACAGGACACAGGATGGGATAGAGCCCATGAAATACCTACGTTGTACCTTGTCTACCTTTTCAAGTCCCGCCACGCCACATGCTCCAACCAAGGGAGGATGACAGGCCGTAGTGATGCGTTGATCAATTCCAGCATTCAGAAGTGTGAAGCACCAAAAACAAGTCCATTCAACAAGCATTTCATTTTATGAGCAAACACAGAAATTTTGTTTAATTTTAATCTTTAAATTAAATCGTTAAGCGTTATCAAAGCCCCTATGTGAAAGAATTAAAAATGTCAGACTTGTATCGAAATGTTACAGGCAACAATGCATACCTTGCCTTGCGCGGCAGTTGGATCTTCGCGATATCACGAGATCACATGGAAATCCATCTCCTCAGGCTTCAAGTAATGCGTTTGAGTCCAGACTCGACCAATCAGTGTCCTGTGGGGAACGACTGGCAGCTGCAGGCGTGGTTTAGGAGTGTGTGACTAAACAAACCTTGGCGGCTCCTAATAAGGTTAGCGAAGATGCTGCAATAGCATCGCTCATATCAGAACTGGAGAGTTTCTTCATTTAAAGAAGAGCAAAGAACGGCCCTGAATTTCTGGATTGAAAAACTGTTTTTGCTTTTCTTCCGACTGGCAAGAGTTTGATTGACATCACCCAAGCACCTGCCAAGTATTTTTTTTGCACCAGGATCTCATCACAAACACACTGATGCCAACAGAATCATTTTGAAACAATCGAAGAAAAAATCAACACATAACTTCTTTAATTTTAGAGGATAGATGTGAGATGATATTCTGACATGGACTTTTAACAGCCGTGATTGAAAGACGGGTGCAGTGCTTTTCTGGACATTGTTTTTGCCAAACGATGTCCTCGTGTGTAAGACATGCAGCCTTGGCAGGCTCTTTTAAGAAAACAAGGCTTCCCCAAGGACACACCCACACACACACACACACACATACAAACACACAAACACACAGTTCCTGCTCAGAACACTTCTAATTCCCGGCAAGCATGTCACAAAACACTTATGCTAAATCAAATGGGTGATTGTATGAAATGGAATTATCAAGCATGCACATACTTGTATGCGTGCACACACACACACACACACACACACACATGCGAAATCACAAATGTCCTGTGTTGTCAGTTGACTAGCAGCTGCTGGCATGATCATGGGTGACCTTATATCTACTCAGAATAGAGCAAGGAGATATTTGCAAGTTCACTTACAACCCCGCTGAGTGTGTGTGTGTGTGTGTGTGTGTGTGTGTGTGCGTGCGTGCGTGCGTGTGTGTTTGTGTGTGCGCGCGTGTGCACGCATATGAGACAAGAAACGGGATGACTTGGTCTCCGTCTGAGGTGTCATCTAAGGAATGCATGACGAAACCGGGGGAGCCGTTTTTAGGCCACTATGTCGCTCCTGAGACCCATGCAAACACGGTAAAGGAAAGCCTGTGAGGCCGACCCTTAAAATACAAAACAGTTGTCACCTCAGTGCGAGTGGACTTACGTTGCATGATGTCCATGCCACTGATGGCAATACTACAAGTTAATATTAGTAACTACTGGTGTCACTCGGGTTTGCCCCCCGAGTTTCTGCTGGTTATGTACATGTTGCCGTGCTAACTGTGACACTCACTGTGATTATGGATTATGATACGATTTATAGATGTGTCACTGACTTATCCATCACCCTGCTTTTATTCATGTGCAATGAAAAAGCCCATACTACATACTACATACTGCATAATGAAAAACAATGTTTTTTGCCCTGATATACAGATGGTTACATCCTCAATTTAAATTTTAAGTAATGTAAAACTTTGTCCGTTTTCTACATTGACCTCGTTTTCTGAGCTGAACTTTTGCTTTCAAGTGTCAAAGGCAACGTTCACGGTTCAAGGTCGTTTTAAAGACATGACCACTGTCTGTTACCAATATGAAGGCATGTTGTTTTAGGTATTGGTGAGGCGATGAGGCCCAGTCTGAGAAATAGAGCCATGACTTTGAAGCCTTATCAGACACCAAAGCGTTGCTGAAAGGTTTATAATGCTATCAGACAGGATTTTACTGCTTCAGAAAGTTAATTTATGCTTCAATACTTCTAGCCTTAGACTATCTCTCCACTTCATAAAACACACTGTGGCTTACAACGTCCTAAAACGTGACAGTAAGTAAACAACATTAGGCAAAGCGAGCCGATTTCCTACTGGACAAAAAATAACATTAACACCCAATTACATCTTTTGCTTTTAGTGTGAAAGGTTACTGTCGGCATTCATTCCTGGGACAAGCTGATTTTCTGCAATAATCCAAAAATACATAAGTTATCTCTGCAGAACTCTATTTTCCATCATGTCCGTGACGTCAAAGATGACGAACCAGAAAAGAAAAACAGAAAGGCAACTTCATCCAGGGAGTCAATTGCCTATTTTAGCAGGTTTTCTCGTGTTCAAAGAGTCACATATACGCAGACAATTATTGTCACAGAAGTAGATAGAAATGAAACGTATCTCTTTCACTTACTGAACCCTGGCTCATGTACAGTAGGTAACAATATTTGATTCATTTATTTACCAGACGTGTTTGTGGGAGTGGTGAATATCACATCCACTCTGCGTCAGTCCTTAACCTCGCCCACGACATTACTGTATGTGACAGCCATAGTTGTGACACTCGACAACCATCTCTGACGACTGACCATGAATTAAACTAAGCAACAAATAACCAAAGACACCACATATGCGTTTTGTTGTGACACTTGTCTCGTGTTGCCTTCACATTTTGGAAGGATACGTCTGTTTGAGTTTTGACCGCGCTGAGGTGCAACGGTTGCTTATTTTCTCCTGGAGCATTCAAATTAAAAGTCACAAGTGCGTTGAATGGCTTAGAAAAGTGATTCTATATCAAACATCAATGTTTCATCAAGATTTTTTGTCACTCTGATCATCTGACCTGTGTCACATGTGAGAGAAGAAATCTGCATGGGGACGCCATCAGCTGCAGTGTGAATGTAAGCGACCCAACAGATCTACACGCCAAACCCCGATGTGCCGTCATCGGCGGTGACACTTGTAAATTTAGTCATTACAGTTCCAGTTAAGATGACGTTGACTTGGATGACGCTGTGACTGCTGATGAGTCTCTGGTGTTTGTGTATCTGTTTCCTTGTCTACTGACTTACAGTCATTTAGCAGACGCTTTTATCCAAAGCGACTTACAATAAGTGTATTCAACATATCTATTCAAGAGGACTACTAGTCACCAGAAGTCATAAGTGCATCTCCTTTTTTAAACAAGCATCTAAGAGCATAAACCAGAGCAAAAGTACAGTGCAGAAACAAACTATGACCAAAGACAGCTGAAAACCTGCCGCTCTCGTGACCCTCCCGTATGCATCGAGCACAAATCAGGCTTTTCTTATTCTCTTCTGTGGTGTCTCTGTTCTGCATCCATTTTACGTCTCCATTTCTGTCTCTAATTCTCTCTGCCCCCTCACCCAAGCACACACACACACACACACACACACACACACACATTCTCTCCTCATGTGTTTATTTTGGTAGGGTGACTCTGGCTGGCTGTCTTGCTCTGAAGGCTGGAACCATGACGGAGAGGGAAGGAGGGAAGAGGGAGGGACCTGGCAAACGGAGAAGGGAGAGAGAGAGAGAGAGAGAGGGTAGTGAGCTGCTATAAAAGAGAGTGCTGGAGCTGTCAGTGGCATTAACTTCAGCGGACTGAGATTCACAAACACAAAACGAGAAACAGCCAGAGAGACAAGAGACATCGGGCACCAGTTGAAACAGAAGCGTTCACATCGAGGAGTGAAGAACAGATGCTGACCCGAGCAGCTCAAGGGCTCTTGTTTCGTTAAGACTGGTACTTTTCAGTGTGCCTGGACTTGGAGGTTTTTGAGGGTCCATTTGTTTGGCTTTGGACGAACTCTTGTGTTGTGGCTACTGAGACAGAGACTTCTCTTCAAATAGAGACAGAGCACCAGAAAGAGCAAGAAAAAACTAAGTTCTGAGACGTCGGCCGTCGTCTTTCAGCTGTATCCACGCTTGGTGTTGCATTTGATTTAAACCAGATTCAATTTCCATTTGGGCTTCTGTTCTACCAATGGCTGCTGTGCGTCAGATGGTCATGGAGGCCTCCGGCTTCCACGTTCTGCCGGCCCACCTGATGGCCTCGGCCATGGAGGAGTTCCCCCAGCAGCTGCCCGTCCCCAAGGGCCCAGCGAGGGGCAAGAGCCGCTCCCGCCGACCTCGCGAGGCCCGCTTCAAAACACAGCCTGTCACCTTTGCTGAGATCGCAGAGGTAGAGGAAGAGGGTTCTTCGCCCCTGGAGGAGGAGAGGGCACGCCGTTCCTTCCTGCAGTCCCTGGAGAACCTGCGGCGGAGCACGCAGACCCTCCATTGCCCGCCGGCTGCCCATCACAGCTGCACCCCCACACCTACACAGGCCAGCCTGGACTCCAGTGACTCCGACTCCACCCAGTGAGCGGCGTGGGACGTGCCCATCTCCTGCCACCCGTGTTCCTCCCTTTCGCCTTGACGCCGCTTCGAACGGAGGCCAACTGAACTGAACCAAACTGGCCTGTCTGCCAGCCTGCCTGTGTGTAAGCTGCTGCTGTCATACGCTGCATTTAATACTAACATATCAACAGGTGTATAGCTCCGAGATGCACAGGCTGGTTATACTGCTGTATAGATGCGATGAGTGGAAAAAGTAGCAGATGCTGCTGCATTGAGCACACTCTTCAAATGTATTCCTTTTCTACTGTACACGTCTGTGAGGAAAACTTGAATGATGAAAGTTGGTTTTTATTTCTCCATTTTAAAGTTGTATAGGAATTTTTGGTTCAAATCTGATTTTTCTACTTGACCAGTCACCATAGAAAGGACTGTTGAATTAATCTTGTGAGTTACACTGATTACACACACTGTAAATACTTTGACTGAGCGACGGACGTGACCTGGCCGTCACTGAAGCGGTAGAGTACCGTTGTATTTGTCAAGAGAGTTCAAGCTCTTGTTTCACATCTTCAGTGTGAATGAAATCTCTTGCTTCAATTCCTGAGCAAATCAAAATGCCTTTCTAAATGTCTCTATTTATTCTCTTATTCTTTGATCATAACCAAGTGGAGTTGTAGATGTGACATTTTATTGCTCTTTCTGACTTCTAAAGTCAACTTGACTTTGAAACAAAATCATAACCTTTATACTTTATATTTGTTTTACTTTATACATATATATTACAATGTTTGCCATATGTACTTTAATAAATATTTTCAAGTATTTTGAGTCATTGTCTAATTCATTCTGTGATTTATATTGAGAAAGTGCATTTGCTGAAACGAACAAAAGTCTGCATTGAGTTCTGTGTTATTCAGACATTTTTTGATATCAACTGAATTGACACTGTTATCCTGATTTAATACAGTACATCTAACTACAGTGAAACAGAAAGAAACTAAGACATGTAATCAATAATAAAGACCTGCAAAGGTCAACAAGTCTCAACACCAGGACAACAGATCTGAGAAAACAATATGGACCCTATTGGTTGATGTATGACAGAGACATTATGGGTGAAGACATAAAATCCCATCAGAAATGCATATGACCAGTGGCAGCTGGCCAATAGTGGCCCCACCTTGAGCCACAAAAAAAAAATTATAATAATAATACATTTTACAAATTGTCAATTTTTGTGTTTTTGAAATATGGAATGTGCTATGGAAAATTATGATATCTGCGCAAAATATATGCTTTTCCTGCACATCCTCGCCGCCTCTCCGCATGTCTCAGCAGCGCTGGGGCCATCGAGAAATGGCCCACAGGAGGCGGGTCTATGAAGCAGTTTAAACAATTGCTGATTAAAGATATAAATAAGTGACATACAATTTAGCCAATCAGCGTCCTCAAATAGATTCAGCTGACGAGAACGCGCAGCTCGGGGCCAAACGACTTTGGCCCCGAGCTGCGCGTTCTCGTCAGGAGAAGTCTCTACAGGCGAGCGCCAGCGCGAGCACTACTCCTCCAAGACCCGATTGAGAGGAGAACTTTGGTGGAGATTCTGCAGATCCCAGATCAGCCTGACCTCACAATCAGACATCAGACTAGCGGGAAAGGGAAGCAGTACATGCGAAGCTTCTCTGCTAGCTGTACACCAGACAGGTTTGGCTAGCTGGATGACGTCATGCTAATAACTTATTTAGCTTTTTAAAACAACGGGGACAGATCCAGCACGGACAGTTAGGGAGTGAGGAATGAGGAGGTAAGGAAACATGAGAACACCAGGACACACATGGAGAACTCTGTCAAGCTACATATCAGACAAAGTGAACATCTTTTCTTCTACATAGTTGTCCTCAGTCTCATCTGCTTAACGTGGTCATGGAGGCATCAACATTTAATTGAGATGTTAAATTAACAGTGAAAACTCATCATAGCTTAATTTAACATCAGTATTCATAATTACACTTCATGTTTACTTCTCCTGATCTTGACCTCCTATAACAAGGTCCATAGGGGCAATAAATAAACATGTTCTCTTATATTATATTGTGTATATATATATATAGATATATACTGTATATCTATATAATAGACACACACATACATATATAGATATTATCTATATATGTATGTGTGTTTTACATTATACTGAATATTATTATATGATATATATATACATGTGTATATATATACTGTATATATATATATATATATATATATATATATATATATATATACGTATATATTATACTGAATTCCCTGTGAGGGTGACAAAAATAAGATGTCCTGACGTGTTTATCAAAGTGTTATTTACTGCTTTTTTTCGTGTTGGAATAAATGTTAAATATTTAACTGCAAAGTAGTAATGCGTGTTTGATACCTTATTGTTTTGTATTAAATCATACTGGGACGTTTGCTGTAATTGATTGGATGGCCCTACCTAGAAAACTTTCCACCAGCCGCCACTGCATATGACTGAATCAGGAGTACATAAAAGAGGAAGTTACGAGACACTGGGAGGTGACATGTAGCCTTTACTGGCTGTCCGTCTCCAGTGTTATTGTTAAGCTAAACTGACATCCGACCCATATGTAAACACACAATACTTGGTTGCCTCTACTGCATGCATGCTGGGCTGGTGACGCACGTTCAGTAATGTCAGGTTGCCGTCAGTGAACTCAGTTACACGATAACCTCCAGCCTGATGACAGAAGTGCCCTCCACGGCCGTCCTAATAACCGTTGTCTCCCGATCCGCTCGGTGACAAGGGGAACGTGATGCAAGACTTCCATCCGGGTAGACTCTGAGGAAGTACATCTTCAAGATGAGAGGGATGTTCTCTCCAGACGTATGACGGCTGAAGTGTTGGACGGTGATGTCTGTGACGGACACATATTGGAGATCAGTGTCTGTGAGACAGAAAGGGGTAGCAGTGTTTTACTTATTGTCAACAAATCCTATGAAAAGACTCAAACCAACAAATGTTCGTCCGTAACACTTTCGGACTTCCCTACTCTCTCTGTGGCACCTAACCTCAAGCCAATTGATTCCCACATGAGGACATACTGTACGTCCTCAAAACGAGACTGAAATATATAGTTTCATCATTTTTTAAAGGTTATGTACTTTGTCAAAACAGCTGGGCACTGTAGTTTTTAGCAAACGTGTATCAAACAGGAGTAAATAGAGCATTTGTTGGGGACTATTTTTAATCAGGGATTAATACAAATTTGGTGTTCTAGTGAGTATTTATGACACCGGGCCAATATATATGGTTATATGGTTGACTCTAAATAAACTGCAGTGCTCATGTTTACTGTAATGAAGGAACATGTACAAAGTGTGGCTCATTTATGTGTTTTCAATCGTGCTTGGACAACAATAATGCTTGAATGGATCAATGTCGGTTTGGGTCTTTTCATGGTATTGGTTGACGACGGTAAGAAAAATACAGATTGCTGCCAGCCTTTCTTCCAACTGTCTTGCATATGTATATGTGCACACAGCAAGCAAAGCAAACCATCATGACAACCCCTGACCCCGCTGCTGCGTCTGACATCAAACAAAGCACAACTGCCTTTTTTTTTTTTAAATCAACGACAGTTACTTCCTGTCTTCCTGTAAGGAGGATGGACAAAGACCAGCTGGTAGCACAATGTCTCCATGCCCCTCTCACACAAAAACACACATTAGCCAGTGTTTGTCTCGAGCTGTCATACTTGACCACATCCACAGCAGAATTACTGCCTGTTTTTATGTGCCGCAATGTAACTCTGGAAGCATTTGCGTCACTGAAAGTCTACTTAAGGGTTGTACAACAGTTCCGAGAAAGAGAGAGAGAGAGAAACAGAACATTTGTCATCATGAGGTTGACGGATGATCCGGTTCAGACCGCCACTTTCCGCTTACTTTCTCCAGCAACCTATATTTTTATGTTGCAGAGGAGATGTGCAAAAGCATTAATGTAATATATCAAACAACATTTTGTCCCCACCAAATCCTATGTATGAGGACATTTCTCGCCGAATTAGTTTCACTGTCTGATTCTAACTGCATGTCAGATGCTCAGGGTCTTACGGTTTGAGATACATTTTATAGAGACTGATTCAAACCAAAATTTTGGCAGAAAGACGAGGGAAGAGTGTGACTAACTGTACACTTCTTTCCTCAAAATGAAAAATGTAAAGCCTGGTGTCTGGACCAAAGCTCTGAGATTGAAGCTCTGATTACACTCCAGCTCATTAAAGGTTAAAGCGTCCCCTCTTAGAGGATCGGAGGAAGGAACCAGACCTGAGCAGCAATAAGTTGAATCTTAAAATCATCAGGATAACAGTAGGAGAGTTAAAAGAGGGTTCACGCGACCCTGCGATGTGCATAGTGTCTTTGTTAACATCCTGGTCAAAGAAAAAACAGCTTAAAAGGGCACCATGTCTGGCCAGTCCTCAAACGTGGAGGCTGAAAAGACGTAATCTTGTTAAAGTGCAGATGCGTTTGTTTATTTTTTCCCCCAGTCATTGTAGGTGGGATGCCAAGCTGTTTGAAAGGCAACATCACTGCTTTAAGTGCGCTATACTGTAATTACAGTGTGTTCGCTGTCTGACCTGCCAGGCTCGATGAGACAGAGCCGACAGCAAACACAAATGCACAGCCTCCCACTGACGCTATGATTCATCCAGGTGGAAGTGTACACATTTCCTCTTATCTTATATAGGATCAACAGCTGTAAATTACATCAAGATCTGTAGGAAGCACTCTGTGCTAGTCTATAAGAATTAACTAATATTTTTACATGCTAAAAGTAAGTGAAAGTGATATTATATGCATTAAGTGCTTTACTTTTTAATGACATGATGTTGCATTGTTCCATCCGTTCAGAAAAATATCTGCCTGTTTTGTTTTTTTAAGTACATTTAGCTTAATACATGTCTGATTTCTGCTTTTGATTACTTTCTTTTTGTTTGCTTTTATCTACTGCTTTTAATAAACATGAAATGTGTTTAATCATGTACAACAAAAGAGACAACATAAAATGTTTTAACATGGACACACAGGACAGACAATAACGTGACGTGGAATAGAAATCAGAAACAGCCGCATGGAACAAGTACATTTTCCAAAACCAGTAGGTATCTCATGGGAGTTACGGTGAGAACACTTCAGCTTCATGAGAACTAGAACCAAAATGTAATTTTACTAAATCCGATTTGGTCCTCTCTCTTCTGAGAAATAATAACAGACATTATATAGACATCATAATCCCTCACAAAGGTGTATTACCTTCCCAGACTTTGTTTAAGATAAAAACAGTGTGTGTGGAGGATTGTTTTTATTATGAATCAGGCCAATCTGTTAAACTGGGCTTCATGATACAGACAGATGATGCATGTAAGAAAGGTCACCGTAGCATAAAACAAACACCAAACGTTGCCTGTTTTTATGTGAAAAAAGATATCCTGGTCGTGTGAAAGCAATTTATTTTAAATCTGTCAATTAACAAAAGGGATCTTGCTCATTTTATTTTGCCTGGTTTGCTCCTGCTCTCATTATTCTTATTATGTTTTATTATATTATGTGTCTAACATATTTAGATTTTATTTGGCATCAGATTTCAACAATTTGGAAAGTGACACATTATCTCAAAATGTCCCCAAAACAAGCGGAGAATGTTGTCATACCAAGCCACAGTTCTCTGCCTTGTTTGTAATACAAACACAAGCCAGGAGGCCGCTGTGTGGGGGCAGAGAGATTTACCTTTAGGGTCACTAAGGTGAGGAAAGGTTTTCAGGTTGCACCGAACTGAAGTCTTTCCCACTTCAGTGACGCAAAGATGACTTAATTTACATTGTGACAGGGCTGCTCTAGTGATGTGCACTTTCATACATGTCCGCATTTATAATATCTAATACCATAATTGCCTTGGAACAAGAGTCCTCTCTGCCAAACTGAGAGCATCTGCTCAGTGATTCCACACACAGTCTGGAGGACATCATGGTGAGCAGCCTGTTAGTTCTATTGTGTGTTTTTTCTCTTTTGAACTCACTCAGACAACACAGGTTTTTATCTTGGATGACTTGTACCATCAGCATCACGAGGAACAGAGGACACCACACCCTTGCATCCTCGCTCAGCAGCTGAGAGCTGAACAGCAGAACCCAATGGTACAGTGGATGCCACATTGCTGCACAGATTTCTGAAAGAGGGACCCCTTTTAAAGTGGCCCAGGAAGTGGCTACACCTCTGGTGGAGTAAGCTACCAGGTCACCTGGGACTGGGAGGTTCTGCCTAAAATAGGCCCCAGAGACAGTGTCAACAATCCAATGGGATAAACACAGTTTGGTCACGGGAAGCCCCAACTTCTTATTACTTAAACAAACAAATGACTTGAGAGTGTGCGCACCTTGGAGACTGAGTGCGTACAATATAAGCCCTTTGTGCCCTCCCTGGACACAAGGTTAGCAGGCCCACTTCTCCCCGTGGCTGAGCCAGATCGAGTTGAATTGCATTGGTCTCGACCACTTGGTCAACCGTCTGATGTTTTACCACTCTGTGCAAAAAATGAGGGATGTGTTATCAGCCTTCAAGCTCAAACATTCCTCACTTACAGATGTAACACTCTCTTGGCAGAACATATAGTGAAGAAGAAAGCTGTTTTGTGAGACATGAACTTAAGGTCGGGCTCCACTATGGGTACATAGAGCGCTTGAGTTGTTTTAGCACTGAAGGGAGATCCCACTATGGAGCTCTGAGAGCACTGCTCAGTTGCAGGCGGCACACTCCCTTGTTGAACTGAGACAGACTGTATCCCCATTGCAACACCCCCTCCCCCTGAGATATAGCGGCAGTGTTATATGTAATTGACAATATTTGTGCATTCATAAGTGTCTTAGCAACAGCATTCTCCTAAATGCTTCCTTGACCTATATCCTAGTGTTTTGACTTAGAGGGTGTCTGGTGGGACACAGAAAACAGAGTCTAGATTCGAACATTCAGCATGCTCCTTTCATCTCTCTCTCTCTCTCTATTTCAAAGCTCTTCATCTCCCCCTGGTGCTGTAGAAAAGAGGTGATTACGGATGCAAAACAGAAAGTGACCCACATACCTCCTCTCCTGATGTTCTATTTTCTTTAAATCTTTATTTTTCTTGGTTTGCCCTCTAGCCCAGGGGGGAAGCAGGAAGATACTACACTTAACCCCGTTCACAAATTATCTGAAAAACAGAGAAGCTGGGTCCATGTACTTTGTACTTTGAGACAATAAACCCAGTGTCAAGGGTTTAGGTCTTTTATTATGGTTTATTATCTTGCATACATTCTTATTATATACTCTCAAAATGTCATATACAGTTTATACTTACATATGTGTAGTCATTGAATTGAAATAGGCCAACGACATACTGAGTACACCATTGCATGGGATTTTTTCTGGTCTGTAGTCAGAGCATCCTACTTTGCTTAAAACTTGAGGGAACATTCAAAAACCAATGAGAAGACCCAGACCTACAGATCAAAGCCAAATGTTGCTCTGAATGAGAGTTTATTTTTCCATTTTAGGCAATGAGAGTGAGAGAATGGTTGAGGATGCCAAAGCTCTGATTCTCACTGCTTTACTTAGCACACCAGAGCAAGTGAATAATCATCTGTGAACCAGCATAACAAAAAAGAACTGATGCCATTGCCCATTTTAATTTTTTCACTTTCCTATAAACAAACACAGATCAAGCAGCTGAGACGAAGTGGACATTGCACATGTATTGATATTTTTGAAGTCTTTATTCTTTCCTACTTTACTGCAACTGCTGCACAACAATTTCCCTTTGGCATACATAAAGTTATATCTTATTTTATCCTGTTGCCCTCAGATACATAGGCTCATTTTAGTTTCCTAGGTAATCCATGGTCCAATGTCGTTTTATAATAAATACAAAATGTTTAAATTTTTACTTTGAGCATTAAAAAGTGTAAATCCATCCAATTATGTAGGGTACTTTTAACTCTACATAATTCATTACCAAGACGTAACGTTAGTTTTTAAAAGTTAAACGCAAGTGATGCCTGTCAGTGTTTCTATTTGTATAGATTTGATTGACGGAGCATTTACCCAATGGAAAGTTAACAAGGGATTTAGGGCGAATCGCCGGACAGCTGACGCTTCATTTCGGACCAATGAGGTTGTTGTTGTTGCAGGATGTAACCAATCACAGTGAGGGGGCGGGCTCCTGTTCAAGGAGCGCGAACGGTTAAGGACAAACGGGACCGAGAAAATGGCGAATATGGACGAGTTTAAATAGGGATTTAACGTAATATGGACACGTTAAGCAGTTTTGATATCGAAATAAGTTTGGGCGTGTTTCTTTTCTACGTCAGGTGCCATGTTAATTAACGGTGAGCGCTACACCTGTGTTACACTGGTCGAAGCTAGTTTGTAATCACGTAAACTTTAGTCTTGGTAGCTATGCTAGCTAGCTAGCTGGCGTTAGCAGGATAGCTAGAAACATGAAGTGTCCTTAGTTGGCAGACGTGAATGGCGTCCCTGTGCCCACACAGCGATATAACAGCGGACCTGAATACATTGGAGCACGGCTGACCTGTGTTCATGGCTTATCGTTGAGTTAAGGTCTCTGGGACACCGTAGTAGACGTTATGGCTCTAAACAACTTGGTTTTTGTTATCGATGTGGATTACGGAGATCAACTGGAAGTCAAGAACCATCTCCTGAAACGAGGAATATTACAAACCCTACTGCATTTCGGCTACAAGTATGGATTTGACAAAGTTCGCTGGGGTTATAAATTCTTTCAATCCAAGACTGGCCGCAATGCGAGCCTTCTATCAAGGGGATCGGACTTTAAGGAGCTTCGCCACAAAACGTTTGAGGACTTTGAAATAGAGTTTGAAGCAAAGTTTGACCTGAAGGATAAACCGTGCCCGTCCCAGCAGCAGAAGCAGCAATACAATCATTCTGCCTCCGTTCAAAACGCACTCAAAGAGACCCTGCTGGACTTCCAGTGGGACAGACCAGACATCACATCTCCCACTAAACTGTCCTTGAGGCCGCGGAAGTCGAGCCGAGCTGGAAAGCCCAGCATTTCACAGGAGGAGGATGTTTCAAATAACTGGAGGAATGTGGTGTTTGTTGTGTCGGAGTGTCCACGTTCCAGGACACAACTTGTGGACTATCTTTCTTTGGGAAACCGTGACCTGCCGACAGATGTGACAGAGCACATATTACCCAGGGTGCTTCACGACATGCTGATTCAGCGACAGGTAGTGCTGCACTGGATTGACAGTAGATCACATGTTCAGGTGAGTACTGTAGCAGTCGAGAATATTACTATAATGCACCTGGACAATTTTGACAAAATCTGAAATCGCAACATATATAACTAAGTAAGTTCATAATAAATAATTTCTATATAAATAGCTCTGCTTTCCAATACTATTTTGTGTAACTTAGTTGTGGATGTAAAGCAGGTAAGTGTCACTCACTGCTTTTATGTGGCTAATGCAGCCGTAGAAGCTCATATATCAACATTTAGGCTACTGTGTATCACACTTTTTGGCCTGTTGAGATAGAGATCAGTGTCAATTTACGTATATCCTGTGGACTTTACTGTCACAATTAAGCACCTATAGGAGATTTTTCAGTGACCTGTTGGGCAGCACCGATATCATCAAAACACCAAATGAGGAAACAGATTTGTAGATATTTTAAAACCTGCATGATTACGGCATTAACCTAAAATTACCTCATACTCCGAGCTGTTTAACCGTTCATTGTGAATTATAGAATAGCACCAATCCAAACAGGCTGTTAAAGCAAATTACAATTTCCACCGACTTTAACAACTTGGATATTTTGCCTTCTTGTAGGTCATGAGTTGTGAGGATCACCTCGGCTTTGACAAGCTGTCTGAGGTCCTAGCTCAGCTGGGTGGCAGAGTGATCCCCGTGGTTGCAATGCTGAACCTCTGCTCCAGTCATAATCCAGATGCAGGCTTCAGGAGAGAGGCTTTTGCATTCAAGTCCAGCATTGAATACTTGCTGTCTTCTGAAAGGCAGCACCGCTTGGCTTTTCCTGTCATAGGTGGTGTTCTGCGGTGGGAGCAAGGTTGGTAACATGGAAGTGAACTCTTATCACCATCTGTTCTCACTCAAACAAGCCTGAAATAGTGCATCTGTTAAAATTATTATTGTGATCTATAGTTTTAATACAGACGCAAGATAATTGTGAGACTTTATACTGTACATCCTCATTGTTTTAGGATTTAATCTTCTTCTAATCTTCGTCTTGATATGAGATGCAAGGGACATCAAGCACATTAAACATGAAGTTGAGAATGAACATTTAAGTGTGTTGTGTTGTTCTTCACCCTCCCAGGTGACATGACACAGAGCTGTGGCATCATGGTTGAGCCAGTGTCTCGCAGACAGAGGCTTCTCCCAGAGTCGGTGGAAGTGTGTCTAAAAGGAGTGCTGCGGGACTGGGATGACTCGTCACTCAGACAGACATCCACAGAGTCATGGGTGCTACAGTGCTCCAGCAGCAATGACCAGGGAGCAGCTGCTGCCTTCCAGCAGCTCCTGATGGAGCTGTCTTCTCATGCTCTGCACATGGTGAGACATCCAAACAGTGCTGTTTTTCCACAAGAGTCTCATTATCTCAGTTGGAAGAACACGCATCACTCTCTATCAACACTTCATCCCACAGTAACTCTTAATGAACTGGATGTCTTAATTTTTTTATGTTTATGATTAACGCCGTTTAATTGTGTGTGTGTGTGTGTAGTTGTTGAGGGTGTAGAGATCAGGGGCTGGGAACAGGTTATGCAGTATATTGGCATACCAATAGCCCAGTGGGGGTCAGGCCAAAGATGTCTGCTCAGAATTAGTCATCTTACCAGGGACAGAGGAGACAGGTGGTGGAGCGGTTTCCTCCAGCGAGGATTTCTGGTCTTTGCTGGACTTCTCAGGACAGGCGTAACTGGCACCGCAGCAATTTTTTGACTAAATAATTGTCAATAAATCTCTTTGTTTTGACTTAATGTTATGTTTTAAGGCAGCGATGTCGCCCGAGGAGCACAGGCTTTCGGTTTTACACACATACACACATGCATTATTTTTTTTATCGGGATCGGGTCTTCACAGAATGTTGTGGGGAAAAATAACTCGACACACAGAGACAGACCTGCTATGTGTCAGGCGCACCGGTGCGACCCAAGAAAATGTTTACTTGCACTTGATTAACAGTAACCTGCCCTTTTTCCCGCCTTGTGCTTGTTCTCCCAGCTCTCTGAGGTGAATGACAGCGGCCTGGTGTGCTCGGCTGTCCTCTCGCCCATGTCACACTCGACAGCTCTGCTCACCGTCCTCCAGTCTGAAGTCACTGAGCACGACCAGTTCCTGACCACCGAAGTCATTACACCGGCCACAGCGGAAACCTCAGCTGAACTACCAGATATTGTGAGCAGTGTTCTGGGAGTAGTGTATGACATCATGGAGGAGGAGGACACTGTTGATGGTGAGGATAGAACAATATATAATATTTAGGTTCCAAAACATCAAACGGATATCTTTGGAAAAATGTCTGCGTATATTTATCAGTGTTTTGAAAAACACATGTGATTATCTCAGCAAAAATAGTTACCAAAAGGTTGGAGTTGACTTGTAGCTGTTAAAAGTAAACAAGTCATTGGTTACATTTACTACACTTCAACAGGATGGTATAATATTCTTATTTTACTTTTTCGTATGTAATGGTAGATGGCTATTTTTATTTTAATCTATGTACATGCCTCATTAAAATTGCAAATATTGGAGACATCAAAACGTTTAAATGTGTTTGATGGTTGCAGTATATATTTTATTTATAATGTAGGTTGTATTGCTCGCTGTTAATTGTTGTTTTTTTATTGCTCAGACCAACCAAAGGATCATCCGGTTCCTGAGTGGGCTCAGCAGGAAGTCAGCCATTGCCCGCTGACAACCGGCGTGTTGGAGAGTTGGTTCCCTCAGTCAGACCAGTCAGGAGTGAGTTCCCATTTAATGGAGTCAATGAGGTAAGATTTCAATCGTTGGTAGAATTTGTAATTGGCACTTTTGACGCAAGAATTTCTGTTAAGTTTTAAACACAACTCGTGGCACAAAAAGTGACGGATGGTCCTGTTGTTTTACTTACTTTGTTGAGCAGGTTGCTGGATGCAGTGCCAGAGCAGAGGGACGAGGAGGAGCAGTCTGTCCTACAGCAGGAGCTGATCAGCGGTCTGGCTGAATTGTATCAAACATCCCGGGGAGCAGATGCCAAGAGGGGCAAGAAACGTGAGGAAGCCCGTCTCAATTTTTATGCACATTCCAGGAATTCTACAAAGGTTGAGAAATTTGTAAAAGTATTAAAGTTAAATTTAGAATATTGGGACTTACCAATTATCCTCTTAAGTATAATGAAAGTTTAAATTGTGAGAAAATGGTTTAGTTTCCAGTATGTTCTTATCGAGATGTTATCACGAGGGAACGTGGCACGAAAAGTTGATCTGAACATTTCCCATCCTTGATCTACAGGTGGCGCCCAGCGCACACCAGTGAAACAGAAGATGAAGACAATGAGCCGCTCATTGCAGATGCTGAATGTGGCGCGGCTGAATGTCAAAGCCCAAAAGAACCAGGCCGAGGCGGAGCAGCTTGGTGCCGAGTGCAGAGGACCAGAGAGACCGGGGAAGAGACGGTCAAGTGACCGGAACAAGTCTGGAGGAACCACCACCATCAGTGAGTGTCTCTGTTAAATCAATACTCAAATTATCACCCTGTTAAAGTGGATACGCATATTTCGTAAAGTGTCAAAAGTCAACGTTTTCATAAAGTTGCACATCTAATGTACCTTCTCCCGTGTTGCCCAGGTTTCGCTAGTGAGGCAGAGCTGCTGTCCCATCTGAAATGCAGTTATGAGAAGACGATGGCAGAGAGAGACTCGTCCCTCCTCACCGCTGTCCACCAGCTCCTGTTCACTGTGAAAACCTTCCTCGGGACAGAATCAGACCTGCAGGTGAGACAGGCGGCAGCTTTACATGTTCTTCAAGACTAGGACCTGACCCTCTTTCATCGTTACAGCAGACTGGTTATTATTATCTTACTCTGGATGAACTGATAGAGGCTTGTGCTGCACAATTGTGGATAGTCATACATTGTGATTTCAGTTTTTATTTACATTTATGAATGATTTAAAACAGTGGATATGGAGCAGCCAGCTCGTAGCCATCTAGGGAGGTCCAGAGACAGAGAACCAGAGTAAACTTTGACAACGTAATGCTTCATCCACACACATTCTGCCATGCTTTAATGCTACACTGCTTACAGAAAATGAGCCCAACGGTGGGCTGGTAGTCTATATGTTGGTTTCAAATAACAGGGCAATGTAAATAAGGACAACTCATTCATTCATAAACATCTCTGTGGCTTTTTAATGCTTCTAAAAAGCAGGAACTTTTCCTGTCAGAATAATGAAAGCTTTAAGTGCGTCACATAAAGTGCATATAAGTCCAATGTTATTGATTTGCATATCTAAGATGTTCTCCCTTCTTTGCAGGTAAAGACCTCCGTGTTTGTCCAGCAGCACCTTCTCAAGTCCGGCAAATCAGTCAGGCAGCTCTATGGCTCGGCTGCTGACGTCGATGGCAAAGTCAGAGAGTGAGTGTTTTGTACCTTTTGTGTGTTCTCTTTGTTTTTAGAGTCAGTAAAACTCAGCTCACCAGCCACTTTAACACCTGTCTGTGGGCATACTGGCTCTCTCCGAGGTGTGAAATGTGCTTGTGTGTTTCTGCTCATCCTCCTTCATAAATCACGGTTCTATTCCACGGTCAAATGAATTGTATTTATGTGTCAGTAACACAGATTGTGTCCTCTAGGTGCAAGCTTCAGGCGCTGCTGAGGTTGGACTTGTGCAGACTTTTCTCCACGGAGCAGTCTGACTCACTGGATGTTGATCAGATGGCAGAGGAGGTAAGATGCTCGCCTTTGAGTCACTGGCGCAGTTGAATCTTCTTACAGAGTATGTCGTGTAGCAGTGATTGTTTGTACACTATACTGATGAATAACAGGTGCTTCTGTCAGTATTTGGCTGGTTGTTATTGTTCTTCTTTAATTGATTGTTAACATCACAAAATATCAGATATCCGATTGTATGGAAATATTCCCACATTTAATGTATTTTTATTAACATCCTGAAAACATTTTGACCAGCAAAGTTTATGGTTAAAGTAAATTCTTACCTCTTCTGTTCCTCAGGTGGCTGAAATGCTCAGGATTATCTCCTTAACTAAAGACCCAGTTTGCCTTGCAAGGTTCCTGGGAGATGAAGTCCTCCCAGGGTAAGTGTGTGAGGGGCTGCAGTGATGGGATTCTTTGTTCTTTGTACCCAGATCAGTGAAAAGAACAATAAATACATCGTGTTATGCTAGAGTAAATGTATCGAATGCATCGCTGATTTGTTTGGAAACAATGTAGATAATAATGCATCACAGCATTGATTTGTAATAGCAAACAGTGGTTTTAAGTGCGCTTCCTCCTCTATAGTTGTTACATTAGTCTGTCTGTGTCATGGCAGCTTCCTGACCGCCGTCCCCAGAGTGCTTGCAGACATCTACCACAGTCTGGGCACCCAGCTCCCTGAGGCTCTGGTGGCTGTTCTGCCTTCTGACGTCTTCAGCGACGAGTCGGTGGCCAAGGACAGCATTTCTCCGTCAGCCTCCTCACCGCCTCTGTCCACACGCAGCATGCTTTCAGACGGCAGTGATCGTCTGCAGGACCTGCGAAATCGCTCAGCCAGCAAGAGGAGGTGAGGTGGAGGCTGAATGTTGGAATGACACTCGTGTTGTTATGGAAAGGCCTGGAATAATAAATAAATAAAAAACTTAGATACTATAACAAGGAGGAGACAGATGATTATGTTCTTTCAATTTCACTGGAAAAGATTCATAATCAATTGTATTGTTTAATGAGATGTATATTTTGTAAGATAAATATGTCCGAGTGTTAAGGGTTCTTTGCTCTTCTTTTTTTTTTCTTTTTTTTTTTTAAAGGAGTGGGATGCTGACTCGTCACCGCAGCATGACTGAATCATCACAGAGTCTTCGCCAAATAGAGATCCCCAAAAAGACTACAAGAGCTGTAAGATGACCAAAGATACTCATGATGTTTCTGTTGGATTATTATAAAACTTTGTTCAAGTAGTATTTTCACAACACCTCATCCAAAGGTGTGTAGACATTTAAATGTGTTACTGATCGTCTCGTTCTCAAATGCTTACTGAGTTGTCGTGTGTGAAGACCATCGCCCAAATAAGAGACCTGAGATGACATTTGCAAAACCTTTTCTTGGTTATTTTAGCTAATCCATATGTCTTTACCTGATTTATTGTGTTTTGCTTTAGTCCAAATCAAAGGTCTCCGTTGCTTTGGAGAAAACTGTTGCAGAACCACAACCTAAACCTCAGAAACAAGAAACACAAGGTATGTTCTACTTTACTTCTAACTGAGACACAAGCAGCGCCACCTGCCTACTCAACCCGCAATCTCATCTTTTGACTGATTTTAAACTGAATTGAGCCTGTTTTTTTTTCCACAAAAAAAGGAAACTAGAAACTCTTTCCATCCTGCTTTCAAGCTGACCTGGGGAGATTGTTTTATAGTCTAAAGGCAGATTTTGGGAACAGTATCAACGTAGACATTTAGTAATATCGGGTCGAGAGTCCTAAATACAGACCTTGTTGCGATCGTCCACAGAGGTGACAAAGGTGAGAAGAAACCTGTTCAACGAAGAGATCGTTTCCCCCTCAAAGAAAGCCAAGCTGCCAAGGAGCCAGTCTGTGTCCGCAGTGGAAGGCTTGAAACGCAAGCGGGCTCTTGAATCTGAAGGTAGACATTTAATTATTGCAAATCCATTGGAAGTAAGGCCGGCGGAGAACCTTTTACTTTCAGTGTTTAGCCATTTAGCCTTGTTGTTGACTGTTAGACTGACCGTTGGGCAGAAGTTTAGTGTGTTTTTTGTGATCCCCTCCAAACATCCTGTTCATTGTTTTCAAATTCTTGCTTTTCAGAGAGGCACAAACTTCTGACAAAGAAAGTGTGTGAAACACCTCACCACAAGCAGGTGTCCAGTCGCCTCCTATACAGACAGAAAAGAGGACGGTATGTATTTATCAACAGTTTGCCTCATTGAGGCTTTTTTAAAGTAATTCTACGTATTTTATGACCCAAAAATGATCTGAAGATGCTAATTATTGTGTTGTGTTTTTGTTTTCAGGAGCTCTGTCCCATCTGAGGAGTGCATCGTAGAAGAGTCGCCAGTAAAGCCTGCAGACGGTATTTTACTGAAGTCACAGTCTTTTGTTGTTTTTATCACACAATACATTTACATGAATGTGAGAATTACACTCTGGCTTTGTCTGGTGTTTAAGTACACAACAAAAGTGTGTGTAGTCTTTTGAAATGAAGTAAATAATCCAAGATTTAAACACAGCAGAAGTCTTGGGGTTCTATGTTAACATATATTTATTTTAAAGAAACTGAATCTTATTTAGCTTGAAATAAAGAGGCTCACATTACTTATTATCTTAATCTTGCATTCAGCCATTGACTTAATTCACTTCAAAATACATTATATTTGAATGTTTTTCACTCCTCTGTCGTTTGACAATTGATTTAATTAGTTTTGTGTCCTTGAAACACTACCCATAACTCACTTACATAAGTCCTCCTGTGCTTTGGTTTTGCATCAGACCTAAGAAGGAGCCCAAGGATAAAGGCGTTTGCTCGAAGACACTCAAACATCTTCTACTCGAGTTCTCAACCTCGCTCCCGCAACCTGGACAGGGCTCTCTCTGCGTCGCAGCTTTCTCTCAGCGATGGCAGAATCAGTGAGGTTAATGTAAAGACAGTTCGGTCTCCCATGCGTCTCCTTTTTGGGGCTGCTGATTCCTCCGGTTGTCCGTCTGACCGGTCTTGTGCAACCAGGCTGACCAGGTCCCGGCTGTCCACAGACTCCAGTGTCTTTGAGGTAAGTTCTTTCTTTTCGGTACTCGATATCTTGTATCAACTCAGTTGGTACAGGAAATGTGTTGTTCTATTTCTGGTGGATTATTATACAAAGCAGCTGGTTTCTGATGCCCCTAAGTGGCCAAACAAATCAAGTTATTACAGGTTTAATGGATTATTTTCTGTGTGTTTGTTTCAGAGTCCAAATAAAACTCCAACAAGGCCACCCGGCAAATGTGGGAGAGCCATGGCTGGGATCACAACACCCAAGACCCCTCGAACCTCAAGGTCCCCCAAAACCCCCCCTCCATCAAGGATGCCTGTTTTCCCTGTTGCACAGAGCCCTGTAGCAGGTGGCTCTCGTGAACTTGGTCCGGCTCTGAGAGGCAGTCCTTTCAGATCTCCAGCCAGACAGACTCTGTTGGTAGAGACACCTACCAAGGAGAGCCCACTGAAGGGAATCCTCCGTACTCCAGTCAAGGCCTTGGTCGAATGCCTCTCCGCTTCTGGATTACATCTTCTCAATAGCCCGATTTCTAAGACTCCAAAGAAGAGTGTCACGTGGTCTCCATCCCCTCGAAAATGCCCAGTGTCGGAGAACAGTGTTGCTTTCAAGGTGCCAGAGTCTCCTCGTACCGCGTCCCGCACGTCGCCTCGACTGTTGAAAACACCGAGCAAGCTCAGCAGTCCTGTCAAAGTCACAAACACTAAAAGAGATATTTTCAAGACCCCAGAAAAGACTTGTCAAGTGAGCCTAGTGAGGGTTTCTGAAAATGTAATTTTGACACTTGAAAAACATCAGAGGTCATCTGAAAAAGTTCACAACGGGATGAAAACACCTGAAAAAGGTGATGCTGTCGGTCTACTGGAAATGCCTCCTCCGCCATGCACACCACCTCCAGTCCACCACCTCTCACCTCTCACTAGAACTCAACCCAAGACCCCTAGTCCTCCTCACAAAATGATCACTCGCTCTGGACGAACTCCAGGCAAAAGTTCAAACGTTGCATCCCCGTGTAGGCCAGTATTGACACCAGCGGGATGTAGTAGTAGTTCAGAAAGTTCAGACACTTCGGCTAAGTCCCTGAGAAGAACACGGTCGGGTCAAGGTGCTGAAACAATCAGATCCCAGTCGAGTGAGAATGTTGTGGAAAAGAACATGCAGTCGGATACAAAAGACGAGGTACGAGCCGAACCTTCCCAAACCTCTGAAACGGACTCTCATTCCCACACAGATTCACAGCAGTTTGATTCTTCGTGTTTTAACTCCGCGTCCACAGACGATGACAGTATGGACATTGTAGATGCTGCAGTTGTAAAGACCCAGTTTAGTGGAGGTATCAAAATGAACATAAGCTTTTCACGGAAGCCCTCGAAGTCCAGTGAAGACTTTTTGCCAAACGAAGTCGCTCCTAAATCCCTCGTGCCAACGCAAGGCACACCTGGCCGGATCTACGGCTTCCGGCAGACCCCGGACCGTCAACAGAGGGAGGCTGCTGCTCGCTTGGGCTACGGGAACGAATCCCCTCGGTTTTCAACCCCTAGAGGCCCCGCAAGACCGAGTCGACAAAAGGGCATGGCGACTCCGAATCCTCTGACTTACCAAGTTGAATTGGAAATGCAAACATCAGGACTTCCCAAGCTCAAAATCAAACGCACAGATTCCATGAATGCGGGCGATTCGGGAGCTGGGAGCCCTTTAGTTTGTGTGAAACCTTCTCAGCTGGAAAGCCCCTTGGCTTTGTTTTCTAAGCACAGAGATCCGTCCATCTGTACTCATGTCACTCCGGCCAAGAGCACGCCTGGAAAAGGTGGAAGCGTCCAAACTTACATCTGCCAGTCTTACACCCCTACACGTCATCCTGCGGGAACCATGTCTCCGGTGGCAACTGCAGACATCATTCCCCTCACTCCTTCCCCTCAGAGTGTAGGGACGGTGACCCCGGACAACTTCAGCAGCTGGCCGCGCAGGAAGAGGGCTCAGATTGGTGTGGGCGGGGGCAAGGATCGCGGCCCGAAGGGGGAGCCGTTGCTGGCGGAGTTGCTGGAGGAAGCGGAGCTCGGAGTTAGCAGATTGCAGGATGTGGACGACGCGGACGAGCCTTCAAACTACAAAGCCACAATATTTTCTCTGGCTTCCAAACAGTCCTCCCCAGCTGGGGCAGATGCGTCCCCTCTTTCCTCGGTGGAAGACTTGTACTGGACGGAGATGCTGGCTCAGCAGACGGATCCTCAGAGAGCAGAAGAAGACGTCATCTGGGCCGCTGGAAGTGGAGACATCAAGTCAAGTAAGCTATAGTTCCCCACATCACAGCTGAGATCCCTTACATAGCTTCTAGATTCTAAATCAGTATTTACTCTGCGTTGACACATGTAAAGTTGTGATGAATGCATGTTATGCTGTTTGGTTGATAGATGACTGAAATTCAATATTATATTATATATATTTTATTATACGTTTCCTGCCTTTTGACAGTCGCGACTCCTCCCAGCTCAAAGGTGAGGAAGCCGGTCACAACGAGTGGGATTCTGGCCCTCACTCACTCTCCACTGTTGTTCAAGAGCAGAACGGGCTCTTCTAGTCAGAGAACGCCACATTTTAAAGGTAAGATCTCTAACGCTCGTGTCTTTACAGTTATCTTTTTATTTTGACCAGTTAATTGAGTTGTCAAACATGACAACTTCAAATGTCTTGTTTGATTGACCAAAACAGTCCAAATAACAAAAATAAATGCGTTGGAAGTCCTCATTTGAGAGGCTGGAGTCAAAGAATATTGGGATTGTATCTGCTTGAAAAATAACTGAAACAATTAATCAGTTTCAATTATTATTCTGTACATCGACATATTGATCAATTGACTAATCGTTTCAGTTGCATCCTTAGTCACAAAGTGTCTCGGTGTTCGACTGTCCACGTGCTCTTATCCATGTGGTGTATTTTGTTCAAGTGAACCCAACATGATCAATACAATGAACCTGACGTTACCCGACAATCGTCGTTCTTTCCAAAACGTTGTAGATGAGGCCTCATCGGGGAGGACGGTGGAGGTGGACGGAGTGGACGGCTCTCCCTTCAGCCAGCCGATCAGACACTCAAACACGGGGAAGACCTACAGCAGGAAGAGGCTGCTTCACTGAACCGTCAGAAAGATGATCCATTCTGTGTTTCTACTGTGAAGTTCTCCGCCATGTTTCATCAGGAGTGCTTTTGATGAAAGATGTCTTTGAAGCCCCGCTTGAAAGCCCTCTGCACATGAATGAGTGTCCCTTTCAGTCCCGAGCGTTTCTGTTCTAACCGGTGGCCTTTTGTTTTAATCATGACATGTTAAGATCGTAGTCTGGCTGAGCACCGAGATGAGAAGCTATGCAGTTCTGCCGAGATGTTTAAAACTTTTCCTATTTAATGGTTTTATCATTCAAAGTAGGCCGTGTTCTCTGCACGGGTCTCTGTGAAGTTAACACGTTGGAAATGGTGATATTACCTCATCGTTGTTTTTCAAAGTTGTAATAAGCAAATTTACAATCAAGTCTAAAGTTTGTTGATATACTATTCATGTTTATTTATTCGTTTGTTTTTTGTCATAAACCTGCTTTTAAGTGACAGGGAATGGCCTAATGATTGATTCAGATTGTAAATATCTTATGTTACCAAAGTCTTATGTAAATAAATATCAGTTTTCTTAATTAAGTTATTGAGAATGTGTTTCTTTATCTTGAACTCTCCCTGCTTTGTCAGGATTCACTTGTTTTTTTGAATAATTGACAAAGCAGGAAAAACCTTGTACAGAAACGCAAACCACTACCTTTCACTGAACAGACTTCCTTCTCCGAGTGACTTTTATAATTCAACTTTATCAGCGACCAGCAAATAAAAGGAGAGCTTCTCGTAATCACACACCTGTTCAAAGGTCAGTTCTCCGGAGGTATAAAGTATAGTAGGATTGTTGCACACAGGAAATTATATTTGAATAGCTGCAGATAAGCTTCATGATTATGGTCTGATCAGGAATTAGATTTTCTCTATTTCATCAGAACTGCTTATTGTTTCTGACAGGAATCCGTTGAATATCATGTGTCATGAGTCATTTAAGGTGACACGGCTGTTATGTGTGCTGCGTTTCTATACCAGTTCTCTCTGCTGCCACTGAAACACCATTCCACCCAGTGGACAAAACAGGTCTTTTGTTAATAACAGACGTTTGAATTTGTCACAGTAGGAATGTAGATTACAAAAGAAATTCCTGTTTAAGTTTTGTCCAAATGTATTAAAGAGGTTTCTTTTTTACCAATTTGCTAGTGCACAGGTTCTTTATTTAATAACAGCTCAGTACGTTTATATCTCTGTATTTCTGTGTTGCATTTCTTTTTAAAAAGTCAGGAAAGCAATGTTCCAGTCAAGCCTGATGTCGCCTTAATGTTGGTAATCAAACAGCGATATCGTATCAGCCGATACTCAAAGCTCCGGGATCGGGACTGAAAAAATCTGATCAGTACTTTCCTGATTTGTTCAAATACATCTTTCTGTGTGTTAAACTAATTCCATGTACTGCAGGAATGCCATGTGAACTTCGATCCGAGTACTGAATGCCCACTATTTCCTCTCTAATCCACAGATTACTGAATGATCCTCCAGAAGGAGCTCAGGAGTAGGGAACAGTTTGGCTTCTGTCTGGAAACGAGACTGAAGGGGCCGCTGTCAGGAGGTCCGGTCTGTAACTGCACATGTGCACAGATCCTATTGCTGACTATTGCCAAAATAATATTCAAATTAAAAGGCAAAATCGATGAGGCAAATTAAATGTAAATGTCACCATGCAGCTGTTTAGGTCACATAGTTATGTGGTCATGCTTAAACACCACTGACAAGTCTGCATTAGTCAGATGAGGTCACAATAGTGACTGATCCGAGGTCTGTGATGCCAAGCTTTGAGTTTAAGGTGTCGCCGTCTGTAGTTATTGCTTTGATACAATTATTTTTTTTAATTATTATTTATTATTAAGAATCATATCAGAAAAATTGAGTGGTACTCTCAGATGTTTTCTGAAATGATTATTGCTAAAGGTTGGAGGTCATACGTTGTGTTACCTTTAGTGAAATGCACCTTTATCATATCATTGAACAGTGGAACCTGAGCTCCTCTAGAGTTAAGGCACATCAGCCGTGACGCATCGCTATGAGGAAGTTGCAGCAGTTTTTTATGGTCTGAATGACTGAATTAACCTTGAGATAATTTTAATGCAAAATAAATAATAAATCCCTGTTATCCTTTTAAAATAACCAATAAGTGACTGCATCGTGTGTCTTAGGATCGCGTGGTGTGAAACCTTTCCAGTGCTGGAGCCCTAACATAACGCACTGAAGTCCTACAGTATTCCCATCACGCGTTTGTCCACTGTCAAGTTAGATACAATCAGAGCCGTGACTTCCTGAGCCAATTTCACAATAAAACCCCTTAGTGATTACTGACGATTTTAGAGCGTTTTGCTTTGGTTTGCATCTGCAATTGTTCCCCTTTAAGTTTAGCTTTGAGCTTCGTTTTGTCTGCACGATGAATAAGAGCCAAGGAGTGAAAGGTTGAACAGTTGATACATTATTTTAGCTGCTTTAACGGGACATCTTGCTCACAGCAACTTGTAATCTATAGTGCTTTATTCACCTGTCAGTTGTGAGTTGAAGTATCCTGCTTCTATGCTTTTAACACAGAAAGTATGTCCTAGGATTTTAAAGAATACCTCCACTGAGTTTCATTCCACTATAGATGACAGAGCTGGTGGACGTAAATTCATATCTGCCTCAAACCTGAAATACAAGTCAGCTCAACTGTGCTGTGTCTTCACATTGAAAATAAGTTTTACCTGCTGCAGTCGTTGCATAACCAGGTTTTGTATAATAAATAGAGACTGTAAAATATAGGGACGTTATATGAATATGAATTATATATTGTAAAAAGCATTTTGATTCAGTGTGCCATATCTTTGCACAATAGTGTACACACACACACACACACACACACAGTCACACACACACACACACACAGTGCTGTTGTGAATAAAAGAGGCTGGGGAGGTGAGTTGTACATGTTCAGCTACACATCGCAATGCAAAGCAGTGCATGTATAAAGACTAATAAAATGTTATCTGCTGCTCAACACTGTTCATACACACAGTGCTGTTGTTACTTTTATATATTATACCATTGGAGTATTCCTCACTGATGCATTCATGAGTAAATATTATGTTAATCTTGCAGCTGCTCAAAGTGGAACTAAGGTAATCTATATCGGTTTCTCATACTTCATAAGATGATCAAATTAAGCTGTAAAGTTTCTCGTAACTATAGCTGGCAAATAAATGGAATGAAGTCGACGAACTTAGATGAAAATACTCAAGTAAAGTACAAGTACATCAAAAAATGTGTTATCGTCTTGGGCTTTCATTCTTTTATTTTGAAGCTAATGTTGTATTTCCGGTATCGTCCTGTGTTTCGCCGTCCGTCTTGACGTCGCTCCGGTTTAAACCGTTGTCCCCGCTACCATTCCATCAGAGGCGCTTCATCACTCCTCCATCCACCTGTCACTCCCTCCCTGCGACCGTGGAAATAAGACGGTTTCTTTCATTTAATCACCTTTTACAGAAAACAAACCAAAAAATGGCGAGCAGCTTCTCGAGAATCCTGTCCTCCAAACGGAGAATCGGTGTCCTGACGTTCGTGGGTGGCTCAGTAACGGCTGGACTCCTGCTCCACCGGGAACATGTCAGCGCAGGAAACCCCGTACGCAGGAGCTACCCGGCCAGGTAACGTTCCGTCCGTTACATGGCTTTAAAAAAAACACACTGTATGTCATGACGGCCATTCATTAAGAAGTCCTCATAAATAAGGACAATTAATTGTGTTCTCCAGTGTTAATTTAACGCTGATGGAGAGAAAAAATGCGGGGTGTTAAACATCAAAGTAAGGGTCACCCTGACTTTAATAAAACCTATATGAATTTACACTGTACACGCTTTAAACTAACCGTTATTAACGTTGTACACGCTTTAAACTAACCGTTATTAACGTTGTACACGCTTTAAACTAACCGTTATTAACGTGGAATAGCGAATTGTTTTTGGTGCGGGGAAAACCGTGTGAAATGTGTTTTTAAATTGGGGTCGCCGTCAACCGAAATGAAGGCACAACACAGATTTAACATGCAGCAGCACTCAGCCGTCATGGCAGAAGTGTAAAGTAGCAACATGTTGTATCTGACTCTTATTACACACATATGTAATATGTAATATCTGTTGGTTTGCGCCATAGGAGGACATGCTGATGAATGGGAACGTGTTTGTGAGGTGTGATGCGCACGTGTTCAACTGCACGCGCTCAATACAAAGCAGTGCATATATATAAAGACTAATAAAACGTTATCTGCTCCTTAAACGTAAAACCCTGCCCAGAGTGTTGCATAACTGGACAACAAGTAATCCATTACTCGACTAGCTAAACGACTTAAAAGTAAAAGTGGCACAATAAAAAACTGTTACATGTTGAAGTCTGGTATAGTTGGGTAGTTTTAAAAGCTGATCACATATTTAACGAGTAAAAAGAGTGTAAAGGAGCATAGTCACGTAGTGAAGTACTTCACATGTGTACTTAAGTACAGTACTTGAGTAGAGACTGTAGAGGTGTTAACATTGGTTCAGAGATCGTTCTGTGGTCACCTCGGTTGTGTTTCAGCGGCCGTTGATGGCTTTTTTTCTTCTTATCAAGTCATATTGACATAAATAACAAGCCATAATCATAATCTAAGAGCATACACTGAATCCTGCCAGCAGGATACGCCCCAACTCTTCTGTTGTTAATCATTAAACGTGGTGTAAAGGGAACAGATAAGGCTGACGGGAAGAATTGTGAGCTTTGTAGTTATGCTGGTGAATCAGACTGTAGAAGCACTAATATCAAAGCAGGTTTATTTTTAATTGATAACCGCAGCGATATCGGTTTAAATAATCTTTTAGTAATATACTCCAAGCGGTAACCGGTGATAAGTCCATTGTAAGTAAGTATCGAGGACCCTGGAGCTCTTTGGCGTTATTACATCCTGCAATGAAAACCGTCACCGATGCATATTATACGATACGCACATATTACTGGAGCACATTCAGTGTGATGGTAAATATCTGGAACCACATCTGCGGCCCGCTGTGTTTACAGCAATGTTGTAACGAGTGTTGGAAATTACCTTTTTTTGTACTCCTGCCACTGGGGCTAGTGGATTCCAAATGATACCAGCCACTCAATAGATAACCATTTAGTTTTTTGGGGCTGGTGAGAAATCTAGCAGCCATTTGGCTGTTGTCTGGTGCTCATATCCAGCCCTGGTTGTAATGCGGTGGCTTAGGGGGTCGGGACGCCAACCTCAGGCTGCAGCCTTTGTTGAAACTCTCTATTTCATTTCCTGTCATCCCTCGAGTGGTGCTATCAAGTAAAGGCATAACATCCCCCGGAAAATGATAATAATAAAAACATATAAAACATCCTGAGAGCAGACGGTGTGCAGCATCTTCTCAACTCAGTGTTGTGGATGAAAGGGTAACTTGTGCCTTTGACTGGAAAAGGTAGAAATACACCAAGTCGTTTTGTTCTGTTGTTCGGTGGAAATTAATAAACACAGTTTTTGTCTAATTTAAAATCTTAGCCTTCCTTATGTTTTGGCAGACAGCAGGAAACAGGAACCCATAAGCTACTTAGTCTGTGCTGCTTCTGCAATTTTAGTCATCGTCATGCCAAACCCAATTTCATTCGGTTCTTGGCCGTAGGAAGTTATTGTGTTTGGATAAAAGTCAGTCTCTGACAGCAGCTTTATTTTTGTTTCCATACTAGCTTGTCAGTCATTACTCTTTTTTAATTCATCAACATAAATCTAAAGGTTTTCTTCTCCATCAGCATGAAATGAAAGGTGTTTTTAACATCTGATGTGAAACGCTGTACAGTAGCTGTTCTTATCAATTTGCCATTTTTCAGCCTTGAGCCATAAGATTCAGTTGTCTTCAACATATCCTTTAGCTTGTATTTATAATGTCCCAGTGTTTACCACGCTATTCCCCTCACCTATAATAACACCAGTAGACGCATGGTGCAGCAGGGTGTCCCGTAGCCACAAGGTAACAGGTTGAAACCCCAGTAAACTGTGTGTACGTGCCATTTGGAAGTGTCCTTGAGTGAGTAAGGCGTTCTGCACCTGCTCCAAGGGCACAGCTCCATGGTCCTCTACCCACACAGCTAAAACCAGCTTTCTCTCTCTCAAAGATCAGCGCAGCAATATGTTATCTTGAGTTTGTATTTGTGCAGTGCGGAGTACCCTGACCTGCGCCAGCACAACAACTGCATGGCCACTCACCTGACACCTGCCATCTACGCCAAGCTGTGTGATAAGGCCACTCCCAACGGCTACACGCTGGACCTGGCCATTCAGACGGGCGTGGACAACCCGGGGCACCCCTTCATCAAGACCGTGGGCATGGTGGCCGGAGACGAGGAGTCTTACGAGGTCAGGCTTCATTGGGTTTTGTTTCAAACACACACACACACACACATGCAAGCTCCTCGCTGTTCACAGGAAGGCGTTGGCACATCTCCGTGTGTATTGTACAGGAGTCATGGCTGACCAAAGCCTCCCCCAGGCCACCGGAGTCTAAACTGCAGAAAAATACATAGTAAATATAAGTACTGCAAAGTGGTATTGGTATTGCCGTAAAAAAAACTGTCATTTGCCCAAACCAGCTTCCACTTACTGTCAATTTCTGGTGAAAACTGTCAAAAATGTGCTTTACTGCAACTAAAGGAATGCAGCCAACCATCCTCCCTGCTCTGCTCCAGAGGAAGGAGTATAACAACAGAGTGCCTCTTATGGGATGTCTGTGTCTATCTATAGTGAGGGTCTAACTATATTTCCATTTTAATCATCTACTTTCTTTTGATGCCACAGAAATATCTAGAACTTCTTCCAGTAGCCGGTATTTTTTTAAAATCTGATGTTAACTGTGAATCAAGAGTATCCGATCAGTGGGAGTGTTAAAGTTGCTCTTTAAAGGATGTGTTGCAGGTTGCATCACAATCTACATTATTAATTAAATACAGTTTGTGACCATGTCAAATATTCTGTACAGTTTACTGTTTTGGTGTTTGCATTTTGTCTGATATTTCATTTTTGTATTCTAGCTCATCTTTATCATACAGTGTCTTTAAAATGTGTGATTTATAGTTAATCCACCTTTTAACATGTGTGAGTGGCTCTTTGTATTATATGGGTGCGGTTTTTACTGCTGCTGGTAAGTAAACAAAAGAGCAGTGAGTGCGGATCCACACACTGTTTAAAAAGGGTTGTGATAAGGCTGCTCGGATAGATTTATAGACTGGACCACAGAGTAAGGTAGATCTCTACCTCAGTCACTGCTTGTGCTTTTCACAGTTGTTGTGGTTTGGTGTACAGTCTTGTGGTCCACATAAAATCTCATCCTGTGTAGATGTTGATAATCCCAGATGTCACATCTTAAATCCAGCTTTTAGTATGGAATATGTATTAATGCTTAAAAGGTTTAATATTTTTAAATTCTGTGTCTGTTTCAGGTATTTGCAGACCTGCTGGACCCCGTCATCAGAGAGAGGCACAACGGGTACGACCCCAGCACCATGAAGCACCCCACCGACCTGGATGCCAGCAAGGTAATACTACGGACAACACTTGTCAGAGAACTCACATCAGTGATGTGCAGAATATATTTAGAAATGTTTCCCCTCCCTGCTTTTGTTTCAGATCCACTCGGGCAACTTTGACTCGCGTTACGTGCTTTCGTCCAGGGTGAGAACGGGCCGCAGCATCCGAGGGCTGAGCCTGCCGCCCGCCTGCACCCGGGCGGAGCGCAGGGAGGTGGAGCGGGTGGTGGTGGACGCCCTCGCCGGCCTGAAGGACGACCTGGACGGGAAGTACTACAGTCTCACTCAGATGACCGACAAGGAGCAGCAACAGCTCATTGATGTGAGTGATGCAGGGAACGTTGCTGTACGCTGTACCTTTTTTGACTTTTAGATTTCACAAGAATCAATTTCCTGCAGTGGAAGGATGGAGGTTATGTTTATTAAAGTGGCTAAAGCAGAAGATTTTTATCATGTTATCAGAAATGGGTGTGGGTCTAGCCCGCCATGTAATTTTCTCTCTCCGACCCACAATGAGCGAGATTGACCACATTAATAAATTCTGAACACCTTTGTTTCTGTCTCCCTGTGACAATACTGTCCAATCCAAGTGAGCTATTGTTGTCACTTTGAGTGTAAAATGTCTGTTCTCTGAATTTACAATAGGACCACTTCCTGTTCGACAAGCCGGTGTCCCCCCTCCTAACGTGCGCAGGCATGGCTCGTGATTGGCCTGATGCCCGCGGTATCTGGTGAGTGATACGTTTCCAAATTTCAATTGCAAGTTTTTCTTATTTGACGTTTTATACTTAGTATAGTATAGAACACCATCCAAAATGACTCTGAGGCTGCTATCTTGTTCATTGTATTTTAGAGACTGTGACTTTAAGTGTAAATACATTTCCTGTCTCTTTTACTGGGTTGTTTATTAAATTGGGGTCACCAGAAGAGGGGGAAATACAGCATTTGTGTGTCATTGGTATATGAAGATACTCTGAATCTCCTTATAATGTTGCCAAGACTGAGCAAGTACAAATTAAAAAGCAAAGGTCCCAGGATCGACCCTTGTGGAGCTCCTCAGAAATCTTTTGTTTCGAGTTGTAAAACTTCAAATGGAAACAGTGGAGCTCCTTACCTTTAAGGATTAACAACAGCTGTTAACTTGTGGTTTGGTGTGACACCATTTTTGTTTCGGTCCTCCATCAGATTCTCTTGAGCATCCTCACTTCCTACCCTGTATTTCTTCAAGGTGCAGTTGGTCGCCCATATAACTCTTGTGTTATGACAAGAGTCAACATGCGCAGTAATCTTAGAGGGTATCTATTGACAATTTTTAACAGATTTTCAGATAGTCATTCAGTCTTTTTAGGGACAATTCTGGCATCAGTTAGATCCGTTCGGAGTTGTGTGAACCTTTTGTCCCATTTCTGGAAACTCATAGAAAAACTAGATTTGATGAACTGTAATCTTCCCTCCTTCCCAAATCAGGCCAATCTTTGAAAACTTAATTGTTTAGTTTTCATATTTAACAGAACACAAATAAGATTTTGAATAAAATGCCCCATAATCTTAAGTTTACAGGCTTTTTATGAATTTTCCAATTAATTTGTGTGCTGGCACGGTTGCACCTGTAACGTCATTTCCCCGTTGCTGAGCTGTGGTGGAGGTCTATTATGCTGACAATGCTCCCTCAGTTCCAGCTTGTGCCCAGGAATAGCCTAATGCAACGCGTAAGCCAGACAAAATCAATCACCAGCCTCCCTCCTCTCTCTCCATCTGCCAGCCGTATCAGCCAGCCTCTCCTTAATAATTCACCCTCACTTCATCCCTCCATCTTCTCTTCTTTCAGGTCCACTGGCTGCTTTTCTCTTTCTTTCTCTGGCTCGTTCTCCTCCTCTCCTTTCATTTTTTCGCTTCCCATATGTCATGCTCCACTTTCTCTTATTTTTGCTTATCATCCCCCAGCCGTCCAATACTCCCTTTTGTTTGGTTTCACTCCTTCCTCGTGTTCTTTTTCTCTGTCATTCAAGCACCGTGCACTACTGTATTCCCTTCAAACTCCTCTCTCTTCCTCTCCCCAACCTGCCGTCTCCGTTAACTATCTATTACCGTATTAAATCTCTCACAATATTAAGGAGGTCAGTGTGGACAAAACGTCTTTGTAGTGTCTGACGGTGGCTGTGTGCACTTCAGAATGTGAAGTGTTACGTGTCAACAGTTGACAGTTTTCCCTGAGATTGTAGGCAGGAAGTTTATTGGGTCATCAAGATCTGATTGGTGCTTCCTCTGGTGTGTTCAGCAGATAACACTGTACTTTGCTTTTCATATTTGTTATTATAATATTTGCCAGGAATATTTACAGCAAGATTCATGGGAATCTGGTCATTCATTTTTTGTTTTACCTAAAGTCTCCCTTCAAAATGAGATCTTAATCTCAATGGGATTTTTGGAAATATAGATTATATGGGTGGTATGTGTGTGACAAATGAATTATTTTTACCTGCTAAGGACAAAAGATGAAGAATTCAAGGATTTTGTGATTAGGGTTTATACTCTGAAGACCATTATTGTCTGAAACCATTTAATTCATCTGATAGTTGATGAGTTTTTTCAATCTGGACACTAATGTAGGACCAACGGATAGACAAACCTACTGACATCACATTCCACAGAGCCCCATCATTCTATGGAAAGTGGCTCAAGATAGTAATGACAATACATCACTTTCTGCTTACTTACTCATATATTTACTATCACATATTTAATGTTGTTGTTTTTGTTTCTCTATTGACGGCAAACTGATCTCTGTGTTTGTAGGTTTCCATCCAACAGATTTGACTTTGCGTTATGTTTCATAAAAGGCCTTGTTTCTTATACAAGGTTACAAGCTTTTTATTTGTCATTGTACGACAGGGTTGCACAACGGAATTTAGATTGTAGTCCCAATTTGCTACATAGGAAAGAAAACAAACAAACAAAAACTCGTCACCACATTACAAGGATGTGTAAGCACCATGCAGCCTTTGCAGACCACTCTGAGAAACACAAGAGTCATTGACCTGCTGCTGAAACGAGCATTATCCTCAGTGACTGATGGTTACTGGCCTCCTCTCTGCTCACTGATGTCACATGACTTCCTTTACAGAGAAAACCCATCACCAATCTCTACTTATTAATTTATCCTACACACTTCCTCCCAATACACTTCCAAAATATGACCTAATATTGATATATGTATGACAGTAAGTATATTGATGTTCTCCATAAGCTATGGATAAGAAAGGTATGTCAGCTCTGTTCAAGTTTACTGTTTATTACATCAGATTAAATTACCCTCGCTGGGTTCCTGCACTGTGTCTGCCCACTGCTCCTTGGTAGCTTGGTAGCTATGACAAGGCAAACGCAGTGGACAAATGACCCGAACCCACAGGGATCTATACTTTATATATATATAAATATAATATATACTGTATATATGTGTCTCTCTGTGCAGGCACAACAACGAGAAGACCTTCCTGGTTTGGGTCAATGAGGAGGATCACACCAGGGTCATCTCCATGGAGAAGGGAGGGAACATGAAGAGAGTCTTTGAGAGGTTCTGCAAAGGCCTCAAGGAGGTAACGCTGTGTGTGTGTGTGTGTGTGTGTGTGTGTGTGTGTGTGTGTGTGTGTGTGTGTGTGTGTGCGTGTGTGCGTGTGTGCGTGCGTGCGTGCGTGCGTGCGTGCGTGCGTGCGTGCGTGCGTGCGTGTAGAGAGACTTATTTTGTAAAGATGTTTTACTCTGACCTGTATGCACTTTGTTTCCAAGGCATCTCAGGATGTCACATAACAAACGGGTACAGTTGGCGACCACAGACTGGATCATAGTGGATCATTGTGGACTTGGGCAGAGCATCTTAACGTCAGCAGCTGTAATAAACAAATCTGATCTGCTGCCATCAGATAGCTGTAGCGATTGAATCAGCAGAAGGGGAGGGCATTAATACAGTGCAAAAGCATCTAGTGTTTGCTTCCGAAAGCCAAATACAAACTGCCTGTACTAGTCTTTGCCCTGCTACAGAAAGAAAACCTGTAGACAGACGCACAAAAACAGACTCTCCAAACATGGCAGCGCAAACATAAATTATTTATCTAAGTGGTCCAAGTTCCCCATTAGAGAAAGAGCAAAGGACAAGCATTGCAACAGCGGGTGCTGCACTGCTGCGCTGAGGGTGGGTTTGACGTACACCCCAGTCAATTTAAATCCAACACTTTGCCAGTGTTTGTGTCCGTCCACTCCCACCAGAGTTCATTTAACAGTCCTACAAGTCAACAACTCCATTCTCAGCTTGTCAAAATTGGAAATCAACAGCTGCTAACGAAAGTGCACATCCATCAAACGCACTAACGGCCAGAGAACACACACTCACTGTGTTGCGACTGATTCTCTCTCTCTCTCTCTTTCTCTCTCTCGCTCTCTCCCTCCCTCCCTCTCTCAGGTGGAGCGTCTGATCCAGGAGAGAGGCTGGGAGTTCATGTGGAACGAGAAGCTCGGTTACATCCTCACCTGTCCCTCCAACCTGGGCACCGGGCTCAGGGCCGGGGTCCACGTCAAACTGCCCCTGCTGAGCAAGGTAACACAGTAACTGTAACAGAAAGAATATAGCTTGATACTCAGACTTTAGTAGATGATGGAGGATCTTTTGTGTCACTATTCTATTTGTGTCACAGTGTCTGCATGAGCTCAAAAAACATCAAAGTATTAAATATTCAAGACCTCAAAAAGAATACAATCTATTTGTGCTGTTTAGTACTGAGTTAGTTGTGTTTTCTCATGTTTTATAACGTTATTTGCACATAATGGACCCACATGCATGCCAACTACAAGATGTATACTCTGTATGGCTATTACAATAGGCCAAGTTATTATATCTGTGTCTCTAAACTTTGAAAATGATGTTGTGCATTGAGTGATATAGTGATTAAAGTGCTTTTAAACTGTATAGAATAACTCCTCTCCCCCAAACCCCAAGGATCGCCGCCTCAGTAAGATCCTGGACAACCTGCGTCTGCAGAAACGAGGGACTGGCGGCGTGGACACCGCTGCTGTGGGCGGTGTGTTCGACATCTCCAACCTGGACCGCCTGGGCCTGTCTGAGGTATGAATACCTCTGCAGAGATGGTCCCCCAGCGTGAATGTGTGGAGACACATGGGTGACAATCTGGGCTTTGCGGCAACACGGCACGCTTGCTCAGTAAATCCTCCTCGTATAAACAAAGATTGTGAATATGAATATTTATTTATTATATCAGTGTAGCGTTTACCATGTCACTTAGATATTAGTAATGTATTGGACAGCAGATTCATGTTTTTTTTGTCACCGAGCGACTCATTTATGGCACAAAACGGAAAGACGGTTGTTAGTTCATCAGACTAAATGGAGCTGAAGCTGTTTTACACAATCGCGAGAGGAGAAGAAGAAGAGAGGAGAGTTCTTGTCCAGACTGGGATATGTAGTTTGTTGTTATGTTCTTGTTTATGCTGTCACGCCTGACAGAGTCATACAGTACAATGGATCTATTGTTGTGAGCGTGTGGTCGCTTATTTTATTCTGATTACACGGAGAGTCGGTGGAGACGGCTCTTCACTGTTTCTGGGTCGAGTGCAGTGAACAAATTAGTGCTCAACGTGGCGCAGACTGAGAATCACTCAACATCTGACTCCAACATCCACTTCTGTTTTAACGAGAGCGTGGGCTGCTCACTGCTGTTTAGTCCTCCATCATCCAGACTGAGGAGCCCTCTAGCCGCAGGAGTCAACAAGTTCATGGATGGAGGAATAAGCAAAGTTCAGGAGGACAATAATAAGACGTTTACAATCAGAGCAGAGACAGCGTTCTGGAAACAGGGAAAGAGCTCAATAAGTCCTTCAAGATGTCATTTCATGATGGTTTAAAGCCAGAGTGCAGAACCTTTACGAAAATCGTCACAGACATCACAACTCCAGTATATGATGCTGAATAAAAGCTTAATCGGCATTATGTGAACTGGTTTGACAAGGGCTTGAATGTAACGGACGTTCATGTATGTGTAAAAGTCCTGCACTCCAGCTTTAACTCTGTATCTTAAATTATAATACTTCTCAAAAGCAAAAGGTAGTGCCTACCTCAGGCCACTTGTTTCTAAGATACAGCCTTGTTTTCATCATACACATGAACATGTAACTGAATACCTGTTGCATTCTCTGAATAATCTGGATGTGTTAGTTAAAGACATAATATTTCATGTTTCCTTATCTGTGAGAAAGTACAGAACATCCTGTGTTGTACCAGATGCTGCTGTTGTAAATGAGAGCTTCAGGCAAATGTGTCGGAGGAGGGCCGTGCTTTTGACTGTAGTTTGGGGGAAGCATTCCTCGATAAGGTTATGGACCTCTAGTTGATGCCTTCTGGCTGCTCCGTGGAGAGTGCAGACGGCTTGTGTTTATGTTTGTCGGTGTAGTGTTCATACTATGGTGGTGAGGGGTTTGCAGATGTCAGGGCTGCAAACTGCTCTGTGTCTATAGCTACTAACAGTCACGCCGTACCTTTAATCAGGACTAAAAGATAGTATTGGAAACTATGAAAGATAATCTCCAGACGTATTTTAAAGGACCAGTGTGTAGGATTTAGGGGGATTTATGCAACCTCACCACTAGCTGTCACTAAATCCTGCACACTGCTCCTTTAAGACATAAAACATAATCTGCTTAGAATGCAAAAGTGGATAAAGGCACTAATATGTGATGCGTCCCTCTCTCAGGTCCAGCTGGTGCAGACAGTGGTCGATGGCGTCAACTACCTGATCGAGTGTGAGAAGAGGCTGGAGAAAGGCCAGGACATCAAGGTGCCCCCCCCCCCCCTTAAAAAATTCAAGTAGAAATAATCCCCGCCCCCCCCCCCCCCCCCAACCCTCTGGGCACACACACATGCACAAACCCCCCGCTCTGTGCCCATAGATATTATAAGTATCAATGTCATTGCCTCCTTTATTACCACTACTTACCTAATCAACCCTCCCTGCCCCACAGTGTACCTCTACATGATATAATCTACATATATTATACGCAGCTATCTATCTGGCTCAACCAAACCAGAGTCCCAGAATACTGCTTCGGGCTTTAGTGTGTTTAAGATGCATCTGAAAGGTTTTTATCTTTAAACGTTAGCGAAGGATGCACAAACTGTAGGCTGCTGCAGCGGAGCAAATATGGCCGCCAGTTTTGCCCGTCTCTGCATGGTCAAACGGTTTCTTTGGCTCTGCTCCCAAAGCACTCCTCAGCCCACTGAACCTGGCTTCACCTCGCCTCGGCCCCTTCCTGCATGTCCTGTACTCAGCCTAACTCTCCCCCTCACTCCTGTGTGATGATCGGTCATTCCTACTCTCTAGTGCTTGTGTCGTCCATCCATTTGTGCTCCACTCTTTACATTCTTCTCACCATTTCGAGTGGATCTGAATGTAGATTAACAGGGTAAGACTGAAGAGACTTGTGTTCTTCAGAGGATTTGTATGCTTGATGACACACTGGTGTCAAAATGTAATGTTATTACAACACACACTGGCTGGGCTGGGTTAAGTACTGTAAGCTACTAAAGCAATATCATTCGAGCTCATCGTGAATGTCACACTGTAATGTCTTTTATTAAAGAAACCATCTATTTAACAGAAGCTCCTCTGTCAGGCTCTCATTTGTTGGTACAGCGTTACATCTTGTTTCTACATGAACCAGACGTCATTCTTCTGTATCCAGGAAGATTTTGCCAGAGAATGAAGCCCAAGCTTTAGGTATCCATGGTCACCAAGCTGGAGGAGCGTGATTGCGATCAGCGTGGATGCATAGTGTCATGTGACAACGTTTAGTCGGAGGCATAACAAAAGTGTGTTATGCTGAAAAGGCTGGTACTCAGGGCTCTTGTTTTCACACGCAGAGAATACCTTTAAATCTGAGAGATTTACTTGACTTAATTAAACATTTTAGGAAAAGCCAATCTTGTCAGTTAAAGGACGAGGCAGGTGATCCTCTGTACTTTTCTTGTCATCAACACGTCCCATCAACAGGCCAAAACCAACAATGAACTCATCCTACTTACAAGCATTGTCTCCAAAGCCTGTTATATCTTCTTCCTGTGTGCTTCATTGTTCTCTACTCAAACACATCAGTGACGCACACTGGTTCATCGATTAGCAATTCATCGATTAGTCGAGTGACAGAAAATTAAGTCTACGACGATTTTGATAATTGATTATTTGTTTCAGCCACTCCTTAAGCAAACATGTCAAGGCTCCAGCTTCTGAAATGTGACAGTTTGCTGCTTTTATTTTTCATTTATGACCGTCAAATGAATATTTTGACATGTTAGACGGACAAAACAAGCCATGCTGAATGCCAATTCTTTACTATTTTTAAGCATTTAATAGACCGAGCAGATAAATCAAGAATAAAAACAACTGTTAGCTGTAATGCCCCAGTAATTATTTCTTTAAATTGAAAGTATATCTCTTTGAAGATGTCTTCAGTAGGTGTTGGAGCCGAGTGTCACAGGCCCGGTTGGGGAGCTGGAAAGAAATTGACAGACAGTTTTAAACATTGTGTTTTGTGTCTCCTTTCACGGGGTGTTTCGACAACAAGAAAAATAAAGAATATTGCCAGACTTATCCTTTAAGCTCCGTCATTAGTTACTATTAAAACTGTGAACTTGTATAGTATGGAGCAAACTCCCATTGTACAACCACAGCATGTAATGACATGCTGAATGGATTGTGCGCCGCCTCATCGTCTGCACTCGACCGTGAATATGAACCTAAATATGAGTCCGTCCTTTGTTTCAAAGCGGGTGCAGAGACGCCAGTGTTTTCTCTGCAGTGCAGGGAGTATCTAACGAGTGCTTTGTCCCATCCAATGAATGAATCGATTTTTTTATTGTCTCTAGTGTTGAAACAACAGTTTCCCCAGTGTTTTGGGACAACCAACAGGACAACAAGGCGTCCGGTGTTCTGACGAGACGCAGCTGAGACGTCAAGTGTCGGTGTTGAGAGGAATCTGTTTCTTGGAGGATTCGGAGGAAGGCTCTGATGTCCTGAATGCATCCTCCGCCCTCCCTCCGGATCGCTCACATGTCACAAGCGTAATGCTGCAGACCTCTTCTCTCCTCCTCCTTGTTCCAGATATGGCTGAGGAGCAAGCGGGTTGCCGTGGCAACCCCTTCGCAGAGGCTACGATTTGGGGAAATCTCAGAAAGGGAAGGGGCTTCATGGGGGACAAAGAAAAACAAATCTGTGCAGTGCAGAAGAGGACTGCAGAGCACTCAGCCACATACAAAACAGGATAAAATGGTGGTCGGATAATGACGACAATACAGTAACAGACCGTTGGATAAAATGATGATTCAATGTAGAAATGATTATGTAAGATATGCTGAGTGTTGGTGTATTTGAAACAGTGCAGATGTTTCTCAAATTCCTGTGGAGTTTCAGTGCCGTTCACAGCCTCCCCAACATTAACCCGTACATCAGACCGTCTTCTGACCTGGTTTGGCCCCTCCGTTCACATCTCAGCTGCAGGTTTACAGTAAACGGTGGCTGGTGTGGAAGAAAGACAGCTCTGCTCGAGAGGATTAGCACAGCTCGCTCACAGTCTGTGGAGCTGCACGTCTGAGCCACAGAGATGAGGGGAGGGGGGGGGTTCTGAAAGAAACCGGTCTGTTCAGGAAGCGGGGTTCATAATGACTGAGGAACATGTTTTTAGATGTATATAGTGGAGCTTCATTTGGACTGAAAGTCCATCAGTGCATACACGATGCTGTAAACGTGGACTTAAATGCTGGAATTGTATCTCATTACTGACATATTATGTATTATATTATGTAAAAATTATTATTTATTATGTTGTAATAAAAAGACTAAGATAGGATCAGACAGGTGTTCTGTGTCTTTATATTAAAAACGGTGGCACAAAACTGATTTTTGTTTATTTTAGTCCTGATTGTATTGATTAATGCTTACATCTCCTATATTTTCACGACTAGTCTGTAACTGTCCTCTTTAAATATGGCGAAATAATGAAAAAGTAATGTGGGTGCTTGACAGACTTTAAATAACTTTAACATTTACACTTTTGTTTGGGCGTATTTCCACTACAACTGCAGTCTGAGGAGCAGAAACATGATTCTAATGAAAAAGGTGATGGAGGCCAAAGCTCTGCTGTAGCTGAGAGATGCTTAAACAGGTTACATAAAGGATCTACTGGATTATGTATCAGACTTGTTACAGGGACTTCTCACTGGGCACCAGACTAGTACATAAATAAACAGATTGTGATCGTGATTGTATTGTAATATACTCCGAGTATGAATACTTGAAGGACTGCCTTTAAAGTAAAACATTAAACCGCTACATCGACCGAGGTGTTGAGTGACTTGTGTGTATTCACTCAACAGTGACAGAATATATGTTTCTAAAGTAACATACCTGACTATGAACAGAGTATTGTTTACCAGCGACTGAGGAGCACGCTGTGCTGTCAGAGGGCTCCCTCTGCTGGTTTAATAGTATAACTGCAGCTTTATTTAAAAAAAGGAAAATGTTTAGCACTGTATGTGGCTGCAGTCTATTGTTGCCTGTATGTCTTTAATAATACCAAATAGAAAAAAGAACTAAAACTATCTATCTACTCTGTGCTTTTGTCATCATCACAAGTGTATATTGTTGCTGTAATGGGGGCAGCATACATGTTTGCTTATCTGTTGTTTAGTAGGTGTTTGATTGTCTGTTGCAGTTGCAAAAACAGCAACAGAGAAGAAACACATTTTGACACAAAGTCCCAGTCAGGCTGTGCGTGGCTCAAGGAAAATTAACAAATAATAAACCAATAAAAAAACAAACTTCAGGGAGTGACAATTCATTTGTAAGAAAGGTTTGTTGTATCAGTCATGGCCCCAGCACACTAAATCCTGGGGGCTTAGTTTTTCCACAACAGGTATACAGTACGTGGCCCAAAGGCCGTAGAAACCTGCCGAGCAACGTGTTTTGACCTTTGACCTTTCCTCTGACACCTGAGCCAACATTGTACTTAGTTTAAGAACACTGACGATTTATTCGTCTCAACTTATGAGCTGGTACAAGTGTTCAAACAGCCAGTGTGCCTGAAGGAAGATCTCAAAGTATAAATGAGTGTGAATGAAGAGAAATTTGATCAGTGAAGGTTTGGAGGTTGTTGTTGGGTGAACTCAAACCAGACTAGATGTAAAGAGATTAGAGCTGCAGCGATTAGTCCTTAAAGTGCTCGACAGTTCTCAATTGTGAGAATTTACTTATATTTACTTCCTAATTAGTAAATTTAACATCTGTGCATAGTTGGTGGAACAAAACAAGACGTTTGTTGAAATCAACTTGTGTATTTCTCACAGTTTTCTGATGTATTCTAAAAAAAAGGATTCATTGATTTATCTGGAAAATAATCTGCAGATTAATCAATCAGGAAAAGGATTGTCAGTAACAGCACTAAGACCAACATGGGTCCTTATTAATGTTATGTGGTGCCAGGAATTGGAGTAAACCACCTTTGCATATTAAAAAAGTAGAAATCCACAGTTTTAAAAATAAAGTCAGATGATGGTTTACATGAAATTTGAGAGGGATTATCATCCTAGCTTTAATTTGTAACTTTTATCTTCTTTTTTTGTTTGACTTGGAGTGATTCAATTGATAAACATATTCGTAGTGTAAAAAAAAGAATCCTTAAAAACATTACTGCAGCATAACTGTATGAGCACATTTCTTATTGTTTATCATTAAAAGTACTTCCTAAATACAATCACCTCGGGAACTTGGCTTTATATATATGAAATTTAATAATAAATTGATCGTGCGCATAACTTTCTGGTTTTGGTTTTCATATTATATCATTATATCCAGTTTGCTTCCAGTTTAATTGAATGATTGGTTGTGTCAAAATAATCCTCGTTTTTTTCCATAATCCTAATTAATCCATTGACATTTATAAACTAAGTTATTTCTTTTTCATTTTTAATAAAATTGACACATTTAGAGTTGTTTGCAGCCATGATATCCAGCTCTGTGTTGGATAAAGGAGTTTCCATTATGTCTAATCGTGATTGGCTCCTGAGACGATGGTATCTCTTCTGCGAGCTTCTCATTGGCTGATCGAGGCTGAGTGACGCATCGGACGGGCCAATGGGAGGCTGCCACACTGTGGTTAGGAGAGGTCCCGCTGTTCGCGTGAACATCCTCTTCCTCTTTCTCTTATCGACTAGTCTGCATTTGGCCCTGTCCGAGGAGCTCACAGCCTTCACGACGCCGAGGAGCCGGGCTGCGACCTGCAATTCAAAGTTCATTTTTTTTTGTCGTTAAAATAAATTTAAATAGAGTTTTAAAGGGTAAAAGCTTTAAAACAAAAAAGAAGATGTTTAAGGTGATCTTCTTGGCCGCTCTCACCGGCTTCACCTGGGCCAGTGATGTGATCGATTACACGGATGATGATTTCGAAAGCAGGATTGGAGACCACGGAATGGCTCTTGTGGAGTTCTTTGCCCCGTGGTGAGTGTTTTTTCCACGCTTTGTCGCGAGCATTTAAGCTATTTAATTAACTGTTCACAGCCAATAATAAGCTAGTTAACGCTAGCCTTTTTTTCTTCGGTTTGTTAGCTAGTGACCGATCGTTAGCATGTTAGCTAGAAGCGCAGAAGGTGCAAGGCAACAAAGCTTCATTCAAAGGTTTGGTTTAAGGTGACCAGTGGTTTAAAAACTACAACAGTTAGATAGTTCATTGGCTATTAAACTGTTCACAATAAAGACATTAGTCTTGACTGATATTTTAAACTGCTGGGAATAGTTTCCAATAAAAACTGCGTGCTAATGAGGCTATGAGGAAGTTAGGGGCGTGTTCTTTCACTGTTGTAACGCTCTGATTGGACGGGGAAGTTTTGGTGTCTTCCTCTGATTGGTCCCGAGGAACCGTGACGTGGTTCCACTGTGCCAAACTTGAAGTTAAAGTAGAAGTTAGTCCGAGTACTATTTGTCAAAAACGTTAAGATTAAATGTTTTCTTGTACGTGTTATGTCTAGAATGGGAAGGTGAATGTTAACTATTTGTGTCATAGACTATTACACAGACAAAATAAATAATATTCATAATCAAACTTAGGCTTTTGGGATTTCTTGAGGTCCTTTTTATTAATATAATAATCAACAGAGTAATCAATAGTCAGTTTGTCCCTCAATACTGTTTATTAGCCAAGCAAAGTTACAGAATTTTGAATTTGAATCACGTTTTTGTTGTTAAAACCCTGTTGAATTACTATTGGTATCGCAGTCCACACTGAAATCACTCGATCTCCCTCAGGATCCTCCCTCATGCTGAAACTTGAACACAGCTTTCGTGTAACTCCTTCTCCCGTTTCCTCTGTCCATTAGGTGCGGCCATTGTAAACGTCTCGCACCCGAGTACGAGGCAGCCGCCACGCGCCTGAAAGGCATCGTCTCTCTGGCCAAGGTATTGCATAATGCATTTCACTTAACTGTGTCCCATTTAGTGGAGCTTTCTGTACTACAGTGCTCTCCGTGTCTCTCTTCAGAAAGTGAATGTTTTTCTTTTCCTTTTTAGGTTGACTGCACATCCAGCAGCAACATATGCAGCAAATATGGTGTCAGTGGCTACCCGACGCTGAAGATCTTCAGGGATGGAGAGGAAACTGGTCCCTATGAGGGTCCCAGAACTGCAGGTATTTGCCTCGGATGCGATTGCATTTTTAAAATGTCTTCAAGACGCCAACACTTGCACAAATATTCTTTTTATCTGCTTTATTCTGTCACCTCATGGTCATCGTAATTTTTCTTTTCTTCTGCTGTGCTTATTGTTTGTCTGCATTCCTCTTGCTCCCTGTAGACGGTATTGTCAGTTTCCTGAAGAAGCAGGCTGGACCAGCTTCTGTGGAGCTCAAGACTGACGCGGACTTGACGAAGTATACGTCGGAACAAGACGCAAGTGTTGTTGGTGAGTTACTGTTTGAAGTTCAGTCCTTGTTTTTCAGACATTTGCAAACAATGAGCCTGTGGTTATTGCACTCTGATCTGAATATGATTCATCTTTCCTTCGCAGGGTTTTTCGCTGACGACAAGAGCACAGCACAGGTAGAGTTCATGAAGGCCGCCAGCGCCTTGAGGGACAACTACCGCTTCGCCCACACCAACTCTGAGGCTCTCCTCCAGAGCCACGGCATTGATGGAGAGTAAGTAGCTCTTTCTGTCATCATAACTTGCACCGTCACACATTTAGACATCACCAGTGTAGCTGCTGTCGGTGCGGCGAGACAGCGTTGACGTTTTCTTTTTTTGGTTTGCAGGGGAATTGTCCTTTTCCGCCCACCGAGACTCAACAACAAGTTTGAAGAAAGCTCGGTCAAATACAGCGAGGACAAATACACCAACAGCAAAATCAAGAAGTTCATCCAGGACAACATGTGAGTGTTGGTTCTCTTGAGCAGAGACTGTAGCTTTGGTTGAGGCAACATTCTTTTTGCAAAGCACAATACATGTGCAGTAGTTGGACTTGTTGGCAGTGGTTAAACATATAGTCACCTTGCGTCGTAACGCCGCATATTTACATTCATGGCCCAGAGTAAAAGGGACCGTGTGTGTGAAAGGTGAGCCGCCCACTCTGCAAACACGATCAACAATGCTTCCCTCCAGGCTGTATCGAACTCTGTTTGGTACTTTTTAAACAACTACTGGACTTTATAATCTGGTGTCATGACATTTTGCAGGTTAAATGAGATGAATGAATGATTCATTTTAGAATAGAAAAATGAGGCTGGATCAATATCTAAGACTGAAACTGTGCTGATAAAACAGAATCAAAGTGATGCCTCTGTGTTACAGTTGAAGATCATTTTCTACTCCCAAGTGTGAAACCACTGGCATGAATGTTTAACTTTATAATTTAGCATTATGTCTGGGATCTCAAGCACACACATTGATAAAGCGGTGTCAAAAGAAGTGGCGTAGTTGTATGCATGTTTCATCTACGTGTGGTTCAGCAGTGTTCACACTCACAGACATGAGACGGAGTGTGTTGTTTGTGAGATCCCCCTTTTTACTTTCACTTATACTTTCACTTTGCTGTAGCCTCGCCTCTTGTCCAAACACAAACTGTAATACGTTGACGTCTGAAACAAACTAAATGATTTCACTGCTGGAAAGTGTAAACCGACTGTCTCTGGATTATGTGTTTATATATAACGGTCTAAAGCAGTATAGCTTGTCGGTTTAAATTCCTTTTGCAAACTGATTTATTCTTACTTTCTCTGTTCAACGCAGCTTTGGAATCTGCCCCCACATGACTGACGACAACAAAGACCAGCTGCGGGGGAAAGAGCTGCTGGTGGCTTATTATGATGTTGATTATGAGAAAAATCCCAAAGGCTCCAACTACTGGAGGAACAGGTATGTGTCTTTAAACCTTCTAGCTGAACTTGTTTGTCCCCTCATAGTTTGAATAGCTAAACTTTTTACTCTCCAAATACAGCCTTTGATTTGAGGCACCACTTTCATCTTTAAAACCAAACGTTAACATTTTACAGGGTGATGAAGGTAGCCAAGGGCTTCCTCGATCAGGGCAAGAAGCTGAACTTCGCCGTGGCCAGCAAGAGCGCGTTCAGCAACGATGTGTCCGAGTTCGGCATGGATGGAAGCTCGGGAGAACTGCCTCTGGTGGCCATCCGCACCGGCAAGGGAGACAAATACGTCATGACCGAGGAGTTCTCGTAAGTCCATTCAGAGGTTATTTTACTCGTTTGCCACAAGTGCATGTTGAACACCAACATATACCACACACAACCTACATGGTATGAAACATGTAATGACACACACAAGACTTCAAAAGAAAAGTGAACTAATGTTTCTACATGCAGAGCCACTGTGTAACTCGTATTTAACAGTGAGGATGTGCACGTCTAATGTGTTAGAGCAGAGGGTCTCAACCTTTTGTGACTTGAGGTGTTCTAGTGTGTCGTGCTACCGTCAACTGTAAAGACCAAAACAAGTCTTCTGCCCATCACTGCCATTACAAATCCAAATGAATGTATTTAATGTCATATTTCATCACCACACGCTTTGTAGTTTCCCCACTTCACTTTTTCGTATAAAAACAGAATTATTTAGCGTCTCTTAATCCGAGGGATCGTTATCTCGCCAACAGTGGAACAACTCGTTCATCTCCACCTGATGCTGTTGTGATATTCAGAAGTTACTGGTCATTAAAATGATGCCTTGTTTTAATGACTTTGGTTTTTATTTATGTGAATTCCAGAGCACATAAAAATGACTAGCCTTGTATTGGTTGTGCGTTTGTTTATCCCAAATATTTAAACGCGTTTTGTTCTTGTCCGAACAGTCGAGACGGTAAAGCTCTGGAGCGGTTCCTGCAGGATTACTTTGATGGCAAGTTGAAGCGTTACCTCAAATCCGAGCCTGTCCCAGAAAACAACGATGGGCCCGTCAAGGTGAGACGAAACATCCAGGAGTGTTCTTAACTATTGATTAACATGTGCTGTGTAGTGGTGTTTATGTTAATAAAGTTGGCATAGTTTGAACCTTCATTCATGTTCTAAATCAACATTAAACGCTGCACAGCTTCTTTTTTTTTTTTTTTAACCAGGTATATAACGACGCTTGTTGAGAGCGTTCAAACACATTCACACTGTCTCATGACTTCAAATACTATCGTTAAAAATAAGTTACTCTCTTCATCCATCCATAATGAGCCAACATGTGACGTCTGTGTTCAGGTCGTCGTGGCTGAAAACTTCGACTCCATCGTGAACGACGACGGCAAAGACGTGCTGGTCGAGTTCTACGCTCCATGGTGCGGACACTGCAAGAGCCTGGAGCCCAAACTCCAAGAGCTGGGAGAGAAGGTGAGGCGAAGAAGACATTACTCTGAATAAATGAGCATTTTAAAGACATTAACGAATGGCTTGAAGTGTTTACTTCAGCATCCAACATGAAGAACTTGACATAAGAAAGCAGTCTGAGGTTGAACAGTGTTTTGTCGTTAATTTCAGTTCTGTACATTTGTTCATAAAAGGATATAAACGGTAGTTCTCTAACTCATTGAAAACCCTTTCTGCTAGTTCTGTTTGACCAGCATTGGGTCAAAACTTGGATTGGTAGATTTTGAGAACAAGCTTAACAGTTTCTCTCCTCTGCTCTTAAAGCTCTCCGGTGATCCCAACGTTGTCATTGCCAAGATGGACGCCACAGCAAACGATGTGCCAACTCCATATGAAGTCAGCGGGTGAGTCATGAGTCGCTTCAGTGTTAATAGGATCCTATCTATAGTATCCATCTATAGTATAGATATGAAAGATGATGACACAGCAAAAAAAAATAAAGGCACACCCAGAAAGCATGGTGGAAGAATGTGTGTTTTAAGATGGACCGGCCAGACTGCACGGACGTCACACTTTGAGAAGTGTAAAAATATTTTCAGATCGTTGTAAAAAGCTTTCGTGCCACATTTCACTGTTAATGCGGTCGAGATCTTTGGAACTCATGTCAATGGATTTTCAGATTGAAGGTCTCATCTGTGGTTTGATTACAGATTTTGAATTAAAGAATGAAGAACAAAACCTCTGATGGTACAGTATGACGTGTAGATGATATAAATTCCTATTAATCTCCTCGACCTTTTGCTTCTCCAGGTTCCCCACTCTGTACTTTGTGCCAGCCGGACGTAAGATGAGCCCAAAGAAATACGAGGTGAGAATGAGCTCCAAGTGATCTTTCAAAACAGAGTCACTTCATGTTTGTGTCGTCTCCGCTAACGCTCCCGTCTCTCCGCTCGCGCTGCAGGGAGGCCGCGAGGTGAGCGACTTTGTCTCCTACCTGAAGAGGGAGGCCTCCAACCCGCTGGTGGTGGAGGAGACCAAGAAGGACGTCGACAAAGACAAGACCGAGCTATAAAAGCTCATGACAGGAACTCGACATCCCCACCACAACAGGAGGAGGATTGGGGGAATCATGCAAAGAAAGAACTAAATTATCATCCACTCTTAGTGAACTACCGAATGCTCTGAGGCCAAGTCGAAAAAGACGCGGCCCTCCCTTTAGGTCCTCCGCTGCTCTGGGAAATCTGTGGAAGGTGGTGGACAGGGCCTGCCCGATGTTTAAAAACAAAAACAAATTTTTAGGGAAGAGGGGACCGCTTTTTGAAAATTGAGATTTTTATTTCCCCTGGTCTGTCTACTACACCTCAGGCTGATGCACTTTGGTTTGACTCCTGTCTCCAGTCATCTGTCACTTTGGTTTTTGTTGTTATCTTGGGGGATAATGGTATTGGTGAATTCCTATTTTTTTTTTTTTTTTTTTTTTTTTTTCCTGTTTGTTTTTGTAACATGTCTTTGTTTTTGTACATTTGGAAGGATTGTGAAATAAAAAGGCCCACAAAATCAAAACGAAGTGTATGATCTTCATTCATGACCCGTGTTTTATCATTCTGCCCCTTTTAGCCTTGGAAGAAACATTTTGTGAATATTGTATTATATTGTATTAAGCTTTGTTTATGTAGGGCTATAAATCAATTTCTACATGTTAATCTGTTTATTAATTGTCTTTTATGTCAAAGGTAAAAAATATCCATAACTTCAAAGAGTCGTAAATATCTTAACATAAGTTGTTGAAAATCCTACATTTCAGAAGCCATATTTGGGATGTTTTTTCCTTCATGTAATTTAACAATTATTGAAAAATAATAACTTATTCAAAACTGAAGAATATTAATCAGTGTGATTTTTATATATATTTTTTAGCTTTTGTCATAAATTTGGTCATGCAGTTATAAAAACTACGTTGGACTGAATTTGGTTTTGGTCTAAATAATTACACAATTTGGGATAAAAAGGCAAGACAAACATTACTGATTTTTGTTTTACAGTATTAAATGTATTTGTTAGGCCTGTTTCACTACAAAATAAATTGCAGATAAAGACTAACGCGAAGATCCGTGCATGAAATATAATTAACGCATTTGTCTGAATTTGAGGCAGAATATAGGACTCACTGACTTTTTAAATTAACCTATAGAGATTGGCTGATACTACACTATTATATTTACGTGGTTAAATTACGAAATCTTGCATTTCTGAAATATTATTTTGGGCAATATCGTATTCAACCAGCTGGCGGCGACTCCGTATTTATTTGACAGTTGAACACTTCCTGTCCAACACCAGAAGAAAAAGAGAATGAGCCAATCGGATTGCGAGGAGAGGATTCTTCACCGGGCATGTACAGAGATCGCACGTGCAACCTCGGAAGGTAACGTAGAATTATTAAATCGTATTTATGTCATATCGAACGTTACTCTTCTGTGTTTTGTCAACACATATTTATATTAGTCTTTCGTAATGTTTTTGTTCGATGAATTATGTTTAACGTCTTGTTAGACGTGGCTCTTTCTTCAGCTAACGTTAACTAGCTAAAGTCGGTTTTCCACTATCTAGCTAAACTAACTAGCTAAACACCAAACTACGTTGAAATATCTGTCACATGTTATTGTCCGTGGCTCCAAAGTTTAATACTACGTACGATACGAGTTCCTGCTTCTTATTAACCATTTAGGGCAAATGTTAAATGCGGTTTCGTTACAACTCACCTGCCACGTGTTTTTAAATTGATAATAAGGGTTTATAACGGTGGTTTGGTCACGTGCTGATTGCTACTACGCACCACGGCACCGGGCTCGAGGAGTCACGTTCTATGCACACGATAATTTGGTGTGTCGTACATACAGACATACGGGATTTACAGTATCACTAGCGACGATTCACGTTAATTAATTTACGTTTTTTTGTGCAGCTTTTACGAGCGAGGTTTTAAACTGACGGAATTTAAAATGTAATTTGGTGGCACAGTCAAACAGAACGGAGTTTGTCCTCCCTTATCTTATATAATGCTCCTCTGACATCTCCCACACTTTACTAATTTACTTTCTTAGTGATCGGTGTTATAAAACCATTTCTTTGCATTATGCGTACTGTCGGTGTCAGTCTGTCGGCCAAACGTGGTCTCATAAGCAATGTACCCATTTAGTATGTTGCCATAACATTGCATGTACACACACACACACATTTTTTAATTACACTTAAAATGTAATTGCAAAATGCATGCTCTGTAAAAGGGTTCTGTTTTTATATATGTTTTAGAATGTACAGCACTTTGAGCTACATGGTCTGTATGAAATGTTCTGTATAAATAAAGATTATTATTGTTATTATATGAACCAACAACAACCCCAGGGACAAAAGGGGCACTGCAACCTTTTATCGGAGCAAATTTAGAAAAACAAATCCTGATTTAGTCATGATCATCAACTAGATTTATTTCTAATAATAATCGGGATGTTTTTGTGTTTTTTTGTTTTTATTTCCTCAGAATATGACTTCAAGGTCGGTTTCCATTGAGTATGGCAGAGCCGTCAAAAAGGAATAAAACCGCCTCGTGCAAAACAATCTATGATGCTTCACGCCATGGAGATTCAAACAGCCAGGAAGAAATGCCAGCAGGACATAATGGTCTCCAACATGAAGAGGAAAACAATGGACAACCACGACGAACATCTGGATACAAATAAACCGGTCAAAAAAGCAAAATCGAGCAATGCAAACCGGGAAAGTGGAAGCTCTCTGAACTCTGAAAACAAGAGCGCTGATGCGTCTAAACCTGGACTCGCTGAGCCTAAAGCTTCTGAGCACCAGAGTTTAGACACAGCCCTGAGAGACAGCTGGGAGATGGACAGTGGTTTCTCCTCGGAGGCCAGTCCTCCGGCCAGCGGGCGGAGCTCACCGTGTCTCAGCTCGTGCCCGACCACGGTGGTGGCGTTGGACTGTGAGATGGTCGGCACGGGGCCCGGCGGGCGCTGCAGCGAGCTGGCCCGCTGCAGCATCCTGGACTACCGCGGCAGCGTGTTGTACGACAAGTATGTCCGACCGTGTCAGCTCGTCACAGACTACAGGACTCGCTGGAGCGGCATCCGGAGGCATCACCTGCACAACGCCATCGCCTTCGCTCAGGCCAGGGAGGAGGTGAGGCCTGCTGGCTTTTAGATCTGAGATCTACTGCTTCCTTCTTTTATTATCTCCTCCCTCTAAATACTTTGTTTACAATGAATAAGTCAGTGTAGGAAATGTGGATACATCAACATACAATGTCCAAAGTTGGTTAGTTTATTGACATTTAATTCAAAGAGTAATCCATAAACGATACAATTACAACAACGGGGTCGTGTTGCAGAGTTATTCCAGCGATCATTGGTAGCTTTAGCATTACATTACAGTATGCCGAGCAGCTTGTGTTCTTAACAAGACTCATGTAGAACTATAAACAACTCCGATGATAAAATGTGACATTTGGTGACGTTAAGAAGACGGTCACCTCCTGTATGTCTGAAAGGATATCACAAATATAACCTTTCACAGAAAGACAAAAGTCCAGCTCCGCCTGAGGACGGGTCTGGGAAACATTCTGTGCATTTTAAATCGTACATTAAGCTCCATATTCTGGTCAAAGGGATCCGAACTGTCGAGTTTAAACCCAGCTGACACGCCGACTCGTTCGTGGTCATTAACGGCAGCCACGTTTTCATTTATCCTCCTCTGCACTTGCGTGGCTCCTCTCCTGTAGATCCTCAGTATACTTGAGGGCAAAGTCGTCGTCGGCCACTCCATCTACAACGACTTTGAGGCGTTGGAGCTGCTCCACCCAGGTCACATGGTCAGGGACACGTGCACGACGCGCCACCTCAGCCGGTTGGCCGGTTTCCCCCGCGAACGCTGCTCCTCCCTCAAGATCTTGGCCGGTAGACTGCTGAACAGGAGGATACAGGTGAGCATGTTCACACTTCTTACACCGTAAATATGTGATATTAATAAATAGCTTATCTCAGATAAGTAAGGTTCTCATTGAAACTACTTGAAGCGATCATTAAGATTGATCCTAGACTTTATGCTCTCATGCAGTTCTGTTGTTTTTATCTTATTTATTTTATCAGTAATGGACCTGTGTCAAGCAGCTTTACATTAGTACTATGTTAGAGAGAGACCTGTACCACTACCAACCAGGTCACATGGTCAGGGACACAT